TTCGATTCAGTTCATCGAGGCGCATCGAACCATACTAGAGTGTCCCGGATTCGACAATTCTGAACGAAGTTATAGCTCGGCGGTAGGTTGAGCTCGCGGTAGGTTGGGGTGTACCCCCTCCGTTTTACTTTTTTCCATTAATTTAATCTTTAATTCAATATTTTTTCTGTTATTAACAAGAAAAATCACTTAAAAACCATGAACATCTTGTTAGTTATTCACTAAGGCAAGTGGATTTTTCAAAATTTCAGATTACTACTAAAAAAATTTTTTTAATTTTTGCTTTAAAGTATATTTAAAAAAATGGATATTTTCATTTGTAAAATTTTATTTCAAAAATAAAAAATATTTTTAAAAAATTAATTAAAAACATATTTTCATTTTTTTGTCTGTTTTATTATTTCCATATTTTTCTAAAAAAAATTTTTTTTTAATTTTTTAACGTTTAAAAAAATAAAGAAATTCTTTTTAAATCCTCAATATTTTTAAATTATCAATTTATATATTTATTTTAAGTTTTAATATTAAACTTTTAAGGAAGCAAAAATAAAATGTAATAAGTTGTCAATTAAAGGTGTCAAAAATTAGGAGGAAGTGTCATCTAATTTTGACAGGGTCCGTTTGTTTAAAAAATTTTTTTCTTTGATTTTGTTGAAATTAAATGACACTTTTTCGACAGTTTAAATTGACAATTTATTAAATAATCTTATTTAAAAAACCCCAATATGAGATACTCTCAATAATAGATAAACCTCTATTTAACAAATAAGAGACATTTTTTAACTAAATTGAGTGGGGTGGGTGGGGGAAACCTTCCGTCCGATACTCCCAATTTAGTATAATGGATGACTTTTTCGGCTCTAAGGGTAAAGATAAAATAATTTATGAAGTATCTTTAAGCTTTTATTTTTTTAAGTAAAAATATATGTCATATTTTTAATTAAATATTTTTTGATGTTTTAATGCTTTTTATTAGATAATTGCCGAATTAGGTTAATTAACAAAACCAGCATGGTTTTTTTCAACAATATTTTGTTCACTAAATATATACACACCACTCCAACCGAAAAACCAACCTAGTTAAAAAACCTACACTGAAATTAATTATATATGTATTAATGGGAGTATACCTTTTCGCCTTTTAAAATCCTGGAATATACCATATTTTCTGTATTATAGTCCCGTTCTATTAAACGAAGATTTAATTACGGCCTATTTTAATATACCTAGTCCCCTATGTGGAATAGTTGAAAAAATAGAGCCGCACTCCCTCGATTAATTACTCCCTCCAGCGGAAGGTCGAAACAATAATTACCCAGGGTAGTTATTAAAAGATATACGGTATACAACCTTTTTATATCATTTTATAATAAATATGTATTTATTATTATTGCCAAATTTTCGCGCTTTTCCTTCCTTTCCTTTCCTTTTTATTTTTAAAGAGCCTTTAGTGTTGTCCAGACATTGATTTGTATAAATAAATACAAGAAAAGCTAAAAAAGATATAATTTGTTTTTACAAAAGAAAAAGTCTCTTTTTTAATGTTTATCCTTTCTTGAGAGAGAAGGAACAAAGAAGAAAAGAGATCAACTAAAAGCTATGTAGATTTGGTAGTTGATTTGTAATTTTTGAGTGGATATTTCTCTTTACTAAAAAATATTTTTTTTCTTTTTTCTTTGTTTTACATGCAACAATTAATTTATTTTTTTTAAATTAAATTCAGAAAATTTTTTAAGTCAATGCTAATAAGTTATCCCTTGGGGCTGAAAAAATTTGTTTAGTAATACAAGTTGCAAATTAAACTGGAGGGTATACTTTAGACTTCTTCCTCCCAATCAGTGTTTTTTCGAAATTTAGATTTATGAGGGTTTTTGTTTCGACTTTGTTATTTTTAAACTTTTTTTCGATTTTCGCAAGTTTTGTTTGTTTCGAAATATTCTCCTACCGACAAGCAGTCAAACCCACATTAGGCATACATAAAAATGAGTTTTCGTATACATTATTGGAAGTTGTTAGATACCGAGGGTTTTACAAACTTTTCCCATTTTTTTTCTTACACGCAACATTTTATAATTTATTTTTTTAATTTTGATTTTAAAATTTAAAAATTTATTTTTTAAGACTAATTTTAAAAAATGCCTTGTCTTGGTAAAAATAATAATAAAAACAACAAATTAAATAAAACTAAAAATAATAAAAATTATTATAATCGTTGTTGCCGCAAACGTAGTTTTGAAACAGAATCTTTTTCTTCATCGACAGATTGCGTAAATAATATTAATGAAGCTGACCTTGAAAAGGTAAGGAAAAATTTAAATTTTTTAAAATAGTTAAACATAAATTATACAGTCGGCCCCACTATATGTCCCATAGGAGGTTAAAAAATCGTACCTTAAATAAAGGATATAGCTCAGACTGCTTCCCCGTTTAATAGCAAATCGAAATTTAAACTGTCTCTTAAATAGAGGTGTATCTAATGTTGGAAGTAAATTATATAGAGGGTACTTATAATGAGTTTTATGTTAAATGGAAGGCGCTTAGATGGCTCTTCCAGATTTAAACCCCAAATTAATAAAATCCTTTAAATAGAGGTGTATCTAATATTGAGGTGTCTTATAATGAGAATTTACTACAAAAATGGACATGACCAACCAAATAATATTTTTTATTTAAAATTTTATAATTTCATTTTTCAAATCATCACTTTTCTTCCCTTTAATACCTTCAAATCAAAAATTGAAAAGATCAAAAATTAAATAAAAATATATTTTAAATTGGTCATTTGGTCATCTTAAAAATCTTAGAATTTCCCTCAAATACCTTTCAAAAAATTTATTTATTTTTATATTGACTGATTTGTTAAACAACTGACAGAAATTACTTTAATTTAATGACCCCTTTCCTCTTTTACTGGCCAAAACTTTTATTTTAGTGAAAAAGGTCGTCCATCACTTTAAGTTGAAAGAAATTTTTTTCTTTAATTTTATTATTATAATTAATTTAAAAATTTTTTTTGTTTTCTGACATTTAGGGGGAAGGGGGGAAGGTATTGAGTGGCAGGCTGCTAAAAATCTTTTCCACAACATACTTTTAGTAACTAAATTTATTTTCATTGATCACTCTATTTGAACATTTTTGGCCCTAATTTTGATCTTTTTTTGGACTTTTCTGAATTTTTAGGGAAGGGGGCAAGGTATTGGGGTGGTTTGCTCATCAAGGGAGCTGCCTTAAAGAATACCCTCTATTTAAGGTACAAAAATACCTCCATTATAAGATACACCTCTATTTAAGGCACATTTCATTATAAGAGACAATTTTTTAACCTCAAGGGATCTATCTTATAGGGAGGGTCTTACTGACAGAAATTTAACCCAAAAAAGATAACGGACTGTTCCAAATTCAGTAAAATAGGTCTAGAAAATAGCAAATTTTAAAGACCCTCAAAATAACCTTTAAATTTTAACGAATATTAATTTAAAAAATTTTTTTAGTTGAATGAAAAAATGTTTATTTTTAAGCACACCTTTTCGTGTTCATTTACCCTCTTTTAATTAACTACTTTTCTTAAAAGCTTTTAGAGACGTCCTTGACTTAACTTTTTGTGGGGTTAACCACGACCTTACACAAACACACACACGTTCCTCCACAAAATTAATTATTTTAAATAAATATATTTATCAATAATTTTTGTTTTAAATATACTAAATAAATTCTGACCTCCTTATAAGATACCCACAATATTAGACACACCTCTATTTGAGATCGCTTTTCTAAAATTTGGTTTGCCACTGGGTGGGGCTTCTCTGACCTCGAGGACCGTGATAATTACCCTGACTCAAATAATTTCCTTTCTCGATTAATTACCCCCTATAGCAATAAGTCGAAAAAATAATTATCCTCACACAAATGCCATACGGCGAGTTCAAAAATCAAAATTTAATTAATTACCTTCTAGCATGAAAGTAAAACGATAATTAACCGTATTTGCTAAAATAGTTGCCCAGGGTAATTATTTTTCAACCTTTCGTTGGAGGGGGTAATTAATAGGAAAGGGGTAATTATTTGAGAGAGGGACATTATTTCAGCATTTGCGTTAACCAGGATAATTACTTGAGCATATACGGTATATACCTAGTCTAATACTCTTACTTAAGTAACACCTCCTTATTTAAGCTACACCTCGTTATAGGAGACTATTTTTCCATTCTCAAGGGAGTGTCTTATAGTGAGGTCCGACATACTATCTATTTTAAAAAAATATTATCCAAATCCCTCACTTTTAATTTTCACATGTACTCTTTTTCCCTTATAAATTGCGCAGTAAAAATATTTCTATAAATAAAGGATTTAAAAAATTTTTTTTCGATTGAAATAAATGGGATGTGACCAACAGTCCTTCCCCCTCTTTTAATAAATAAAAATATTTCTAAAAAAATTTTTTCAATCGATCAACCCAAATAACCCAAAAATATGTTTAGCCCTTTCTGCTTATTTCTGCTTATTTTTTCTCTTTTTTTTTTAATTTTTACCGCATCAATGACCGAATTCTTTAATATTTTCTCTTTTGTTTTTCTTGACCATTTAAAAGAAAAAAATATTTTTTGGAAGGAAAAAAAAGGGGGTTAGTAAAAAGTAATATTTTTGTTGGCGCTTTCCCAAGTGACCAATATTTTTGTAAAAAAATAAAAGGGAAAGAAAAATAAAAATGAAAAAATTGGAGAAAATAAAGGAGAAAATTGGTAAAAATAGGCAACATTAATAAAAAAAAATGAATGGCTATATTAGGAGTCAAGATGGGCTGGGTAGAGAAAAAAGCCTAGTAGGATTTTGCATCAAAAATTGCCCGGGTTTGAACTTCGGTATCGGATACATTATTTCAATTTGATTCAACTGACATGACTTGAATTTTGATTTTAAGCAAAGCTCCTAATATTGCCATTCATTTTTTGTTTTAAATTTTAAAAAATAAATTTATTAAAGAAAACTAAACAACCAAACAACCAGAAAATAAAACAAAAAAATAAAATGAATGAGAATAATAACAACAAAAATAGTGCAAGTAGTAGTGGGAGTGAAATAAATATAATACAAAATAATTTGCCAACAAATATTCAACATTCTTTAAGTGGAAGTGCTTTAGAATTTAATAAAAATAATTTATTTGGAGAGGGATTACAATTTGTTAAAATTACAGAAAGAATTTTTGGTTTCTTAAAATTATTTTTGGCACTATTGTAGACTGAGGCTCTTTCGTGGGCTTTCTTCTTAAAGAAAAAGAATATTCGCAAAAAATCCAAAGTCCCAAAAAATCCACAAAAAAGTCCGCAAGATCTGTCCGCAAAAAATGTCCGCAAAAGAGAGTCGCAAAATTATCCTCAAAAAGAAAGTCCGCAAGAATTCCCCCAAAAAATTGTCCTCAAAATTGTCCGAAAATAAATGTCCGCAACAAAGTCCGCAAGAGAGTCCGCAAGAGTTTTTCCGCAAGATTGTCCTCAAGAAAGTCCGCAAGAATTGCCTCCAAAAACTGTCCGCAAAAACTGTCAGCAAGCTAAGTCAATAAGTCTGCAAAAAATCATCCCAGTCTAAAGCAGACTTGGTAATGGACATGGATTTTGGTATCCGTATCCGGATATTTACGGCGGATACAGACGGATATCCGCAGGCATTTGGCATTTGGACTTAACAGCCTAGTCTACAGTAGTGGTCTACAGTCCATACTAATCCTGGTCTACAGTAGTGTCGACTTTAATAAATTATTTAATTCGTTATTTTTTAAAGCCATACTTTTTCATTCTGGTTCTGATGCTATTTATCGAAATAATATTAAAGCAATTTCTGAACGGTTGAAAAAAACATTTTTAGACAAATATAAAGTAAACTTTTAATTATTTTTTAAAAATTCAAAAAAAAAGATTTTTAATCTCTCGCAAAAACGTTCTGATCTTGGCCGTGCAAACCAACAAGGAAATGTTTTAGAATTTGGATGGCCTGAACCTTTAGCGCCTCCCCTAGATAGGCTTTGTTCGATTTGTAAACAATTAGAAAATCATTTAAATTGTTCTAAAGAAAATGTAGCTGTTATACATTGTAAAGGAGGGATTTATAGAGGTGTTTATTTTTAATTAAAATTTAAAAAATAAATAGTGAAAAGAGAACGTATCCCGTTAGTGTTAGGTGTCCTATTCACACCAGGGTCTAGTCTAAAGAGAACATATCCTGTTAGTAGGTGTTACTCCGTAATAGGGTTTTTGTTTCCTCCATCTATAGGGATACATGCATTGTTCGAATACACATTACTAGTACGAGAAATAATCTAAAAAATCCATTCGAATCCGGATTTGTAAGCAGATACGGACTGGAGCTGGTCGGATTTTTTTAGATAATCCGTTACGGGAAAATCTCAAAATCTCACTTCTTCGGAGTCAAAGACTCCGGAAAATTCATTCGAATCCGGTCCGACGCCGCGCACTACACATTACCCTTTTTCCTTTCTTCTCTTGAAGACTTGATTGGAAAAAAATTAAAAAATTATTTTTAAATTATTCTTATTTAGCTGGAATTGTAATTGCTGCATTTATGAATTATACAAATATTTGTGCTGGGTTATTTTATTTTTTAAATTTAAAATATTTGTTACATTTTAGTGAAGAAAATTTACCTGACAGATTTTCTATGAAATTGTTTACTGAAAAATATATGGAAATAAATACACAGCCTTCACATAAAAGGTGTTTCTTGATGTTTTGTAGATTTAATAAAAACCTCCTTATAAAATACCCTCTTGGGGCTGAAAAAGTCTCTCATAATGAGGTGTTGCTTAAATAGAGGGCATAGTAGCTTAATCAGCTCTCCCACTCAGGGGCCTCCAATTTATCAAAACGTCTCTTAAATAGAGGTGTCTCTAATATAGGGGGTACACTATGGACCCTATAATGAGGTGTGGTTAAATAGAGGGTATCATTTGGGGTATCGTCCTTGTAGGGGGTATCGTCCTCCACCCAGTGCCAACCAAGTTTTAAAAAACGTTTTTTACATAGAGGGGTATCTATTATTTGGTTTATCTTATAGAGAGGTTTTTTATTTCTTTCTAAAATTTAATTAATTTAAAGATATGTAAATTATTTTATCAATCTTTTGACTGGAACAACAAAAGTATATCCATCACCAATATTTTTATTACACATTTCTTTAAATAAATTATTCTCTGGACAAACAGTTAAACTAAAATTGTATGAAAGAATGAAGCCAATTTGGAGTTCAGGCAAAATGTAACTTAAAAGATTATTTTAATTTAGATTTGGGGGAATTTAGGGATAGGAGGGAGGGCATTTCTAAACTCTTTTTAGAGTTGCTTTATTGTTGACTAGAGACAGGACTAGGAGTGTCGTAGAAGAATCGAGAGCGAGATCTCGGAAAAAAATTTTTTCGATCGAGATCTCGTCTCGGTTCGGTCTCTATTGATGACCACTCTCTTCAGATTAAAAGGGAGAGAAGAATTCCGAATTTTCTGAAATCAGTACGATACAAGAGACCTTCCAGAGTCTTCAGAGAATCTTCGGTTATTTAGTACCGATATCGGTACCAAAACTTTCAAATGTCTCTGGATTAGTGTTCGACACTTTTCGGACTCCCGATACCAAAAAAAGTTATTAGCCGATCTTGTACCTCCAATCTTCCAATAACCCCAACTGAATCCTCCAACTACATATATCTACCTAATCCTCCCTCTAATTTTTTTTAATTTTAACAGAATATTAAAAGAATATACTTTAATTGAAATGCCCGGAAATAAGCAATCTTTACGTGGAGATGTTTTATTAAAATGTTATCAGTCAACAACAATAATTAATAATGATGTAAATGAAAAACAATTATTATTTCAATGTCAATTTAATACTTGTGCTATAGGAATTGAATGTTTTAATATTCCAAAAATATTTTTTACAAAAATGGAATTGGATTGCTTAAATAATTGTATAAAATAATTAAATTATTTTATGTATTATACCCCTAGAAATCCCTCAAACTGTCAGACCTCGTTATATGATACCCCCAATATAAGAGACAAACCTCTATTTAGGAGACGATTTTTTAGGTTTGGTTGGCCACTAGCGGTGAGGATGTGACTAACCGATGCCCTCTATTTAAGATACACCCCATTAGAAGGTACTTCCAATACTGGAGGTCTTATATTTTCGGATACACCTCTATTTAAGGGACGATTAAATTTTGGTTAGCTACGCATGGGGAACAACTACTTAAATGATACCCTTTTATATCTAAGTTACATCTCATTATAAGAGACTATTTTTCTTATTTTTTCAGCATCCTCAATAGACAACAAAGCTTGTTTAGAATTAGCTTTTGAATTGAGTCGTGAGCCACGAAGAAGTAGCAGTACACCTAGAAGGGGAAAGTCTTCATCCCCACGTTCATATCAACAATTAAGTGGTGGAGACTTTTCTAGAGCTGACAGCTATGAAAATTTTGAAAGAGCTGAAGGTAGTTAAACTTATTTAATTTCTCCATGTAAGGGAGAAAAGAGATCAGGTTTAATTGTAAGACCTATTAAGGAATAGCTCAATCGGTAAATAAGTTCAGTACGACAGACATGAGTTTGCGGGGTCAATGCCTGCTTGGGGCTAAATTTACCCCTCTCTTACCTAATCCCTTTTGGTGTATTATTGCCAGTAAGAGGCATTTAAAATCGTTTTAGATTTTTAAATTTAAAAGAAAAGGATTTTAATGGATTAAGTTGCTGGCTGGCAATAATACTGAGTGGATTTTGCGACGGTTTAGGCACTTTAGCTAAGATTCTACATATTTTTAAACTAATTAATCAATATTAAATATTTATTTTTTTTATTAAAAATTTCCTTCCTTCCATTCCTTCTCTCGGAAATGAGCTCAGATGCAAGCATTTCCTTTTGTTTTTACAAAAAAAATTATTTTTTATATACATATAATTCAATTTTACTTTTATTTATATCTTTTTAACATTCTTCTCCATGTCTAGAAAACTAGAGCAAAACATAAAACAAAAACAAATGCTTTTTAAATAAATTCTTTTGTTGGAGAGACAACTGTTTTGTTTTTCAAAACTTTTCTCCAATTTTTTGCTTTTATTAATCAAGAATAGTAGGTATATCCCTATTTTTAAATTTATTTCTTTTTTTAGTAGAAAGTTTTTTTCTCTCCTATTTTTTCCCTTTAAGATTTTTTATAAAAAAAAATAATTTGGAATTTTTAAATAAATACAATCGGAACTTGTTAGCCTCCCTTTAGCTCTCCAACAATAATTTTAAACACCTTTCCTGGGGCTATAAGAATCGTATCTTATAATGAGGTGTTTTAAAAATGGAGGTATGTTAAAATGAGAGCTATTGATTCAAAAAATCTTTTAATGTCCGACGACAAATGAGTGTTAAATTAGGGAGGAGTTTTCGTGCAGCTCTGTCCCGGGCCCCACATCCCCCCTCCCCTCCCCCCAATAATTAAAAAAGTGCCATATATTTTTCAATCACCCTTCAAAGGGACATTCAATTATTAAATCGAAATGTATTGAGGGATATTCAAAAACTAAGTCTTTATGTATTTAAAAATATTATTATTCACCTTCTTCTGGCAATACTTTAATCATTTCTCCATTTTCTAAAATTTATTTTTTAAAAATCGATCACTTTATGATAGCCAGCTTTTCATATGCAGAATCATTTTTGTGTGTTTTTTTCTTTTTTATTTTTCTCTTTCAATTTTTTCACTTTCCAACAAAATCAGTTGAAAAACTTTTTTGGCCAAAAAGTGCCTATACTCTGATATTTTTATTGCAGATTTTTTACTACTTGCGGCTGCTTCTCTTCTTTTTTTTATTTTTTAGTGACTGGTACTTCTCTTTTTTTCTCGTCAATCAAAGAAATATTTTTCTAACGACAAAAAGCATTTTAGAGGTCACCCCAAAAGATCACCTTCCTAGAGCAGTGTTGATCTTTTCCCCAAGGGTGGTGATCTTGTGGGTTAAGCCCCTTCCCTTTAATACTATTTTTGCCCTTTTCTCTCTTTCTCTATTTTTATGCTTTTCCTCTTTTGCTTGATCTAAAGCAACGTTTAAACAGAAAACCGCTGTTATTGAGACTTTTTCGATCCAGTCATTTGCTTTTATATATTGTGCCCCTTTAGCCTTTTTTTATATTTTTTTATCAATCCATTCATTTATTTTTGCATGCTTCTTCTTTTCTTATTTTTCTTCTTTTCACACCCGATTATTTTCATTGTCTCGTTATTCTTTATAAGCCCACCCTGAATTTTTTTTCTTGTTTTTGAATGTTATTTTAGCTGATCTAGAGGGCTTGTTGATCTGATTATGCTTTTAAAAATACAGTCGGACCTCTTTATAAGATACCTTCAATAGTAGGACTGCACAAGCAATACCTTCTGTTTAATATACACCTCATTATAAGGTATACCTATGATACCCCCAATACTAGATAACCTCTATATAAGATACACTTCAAAATTTGATTGCCACGGGACGTGAGTAACAGTTTGAGCATTACCCTCTATTTAATATACATCTCATTATAAGAGACTATTTTCTAGCCATAAGGGGTATCTTATAATGAGGCGGCCTGCATATATTTAATTAATTATTAAAATTTTCTAATTTTTAAGACGAACGTAGTCTATCATTACCTATCGGAATCTGCAGTCAAAACCTTCTCAACGAAGATAATTACCAAAAATTAAATGATGAAATTAAATTATTAGTGGCAGATCAGCCAATTTTACAAGAAAATTCAATCGAAAAAAATTCTTCGAAAAATAATTTAAATAAGCAACAAACACAAGACGGGGCCGATTCTGGAATTGGTTCAGATTCTCCTAAAGTAGCAACTACACAATCAATTTTGTTAAACGGATTACAACAACAAATAGTTGAGGAAAATAATGAAAAAGAGCAACAACAAAGTGATCAGGAATTTAATAAAGTGAGGGGAATTTTTTGTTGAATCATTTAAAAAAAATTTAGAGAAAAATTATAGACAGACCTAATTGGGCTAAGACATATTGGGCTGAGGAGACACCTTTAGGGACTGAAAAATTAAAAAATTCACTTATAATGAAGTATGTTTTAAATAGAGGATATCCCTTAGGGAAGTTCTCCACCCATTGACCAACCAGATTTTATGAAGCGTCTATTAAATAGAGGTATATCTAGTCTTAAGGGTATATTACAGCGAAGTTATCATTATAATGAGTTGTGGCTTAATTAGTGGGTATCGCTTAGACAGCTCTTCCAACCCATTGATCAGCCAAATTAATGTCTCTTAAATAGAGGTGTATCTAAAATTGAGGGTAGCTTATAGAGAGGTATGACTGTCTATAAAATTTAAATATTTACTTAAGGTCCAATCTTTAATATATTTTTAAGATAACCACCAATATGCCACCTCCAGTCCCACCAAAATCATCATCTGTTTATAAACATTCCCCTCTAACTGTGAATGATGGAAAAGATGTAAATCTAGAATTAAATAATCAAAATCAACATTATTCCCCCAAAAAACATTCTGAAACCCAAATTATGAATGGAGAGGGGGAAGAAGAAAATGACCCAATGAGAAGTGCCTTTGAGGATTCTACAATTGGTAGAGACCATTCTGTTCTTCCTCCGGGTGCACGTTCTTCAAGTAGAAGACATTCTCCACATGCATCTATTGAAAAAGGTAGAATTCCAACGCATAAGGCTTTAATTTAAAAATATTAATTGAATAATGAGAAAGCGGACCATATTTGAAAATCGAACCCAAACCATATTTGAAAGTCGAATCCAGACCTCAATCTAATGTGACACCATTTAACACCTATGATGGGTTTCCTAGTTTACCGTAGACTAGGAGACTAAACCTAGAAATGTCATAGCAGGTCTATTCTGATACCATCCGACTTGGCTCGACGAGTTTCGCCAAAAATATCGCACTTGCTGGATCCAGTTTTCATTAACTTTGTTATAAGCTCCATGAGAGACTTACAAAGGGGAGGGAGTATCCGAAGGTGAGGGGTACTACTTTCAAGACATCCTTCCACTGATATTAAAATTTAAAAAAAATTTTCTTTATTTTTCCTGATGGTGGTGGAACTTCTGCCTCTTCTGGTGATGAACGGCCTAGGAGACGAGTTATTATTTCTCCAATGGTTCAGCCACAATTAGTTGCTAGTGGAAGGTATTGAGAAGAGAGAAATGATCCTCCTTAAATTTTTATTATTTAGATATGACCCCAATTCACGTTGTTTTTCCTACGTTCCTGCCAAATCATTAAAAGAGCATTACAAAGCTCCAAAAAAGCCATCACTTAAAAGACGTACTTCAGTTATAGAACCTGCAGATTTAGAAGTTAGCCCTTTGGAAGCAAAGATGGCGCTAGAGAATTTTGGACTACAAAGTTGTAGTTCTGAGACATATCGAAAAACAGAAACACCCAAATGGGAAGCAGAAATTGATAAATTAACCGGTGGAAAAATTGAGCATCGACCTAGGAGAGCGAGTACTGCTGGAACGCCTGTGAGTGAATATTTTTATTTTTCATACGCAAAAAAACTCAAACTCAAATCTTACTATAGGCTTGGGTTTTTCCTGTGCCCAGAGTCCAGGCCTAGGCATTTTTTGACCTTTCTGGGTTTTTCCTGTGCCTATGTTTTTCCTGGACTACAGTCCCAGGATCCGGCCCAGGTCAATAAATCAAACGCAGAAACAAGCCCAGGCTTTTCAAAAATCAGATCTCACTATAGGATACCTCTGAAACTGAAAGAATGTATCTTATAATGAGCTGTATATTAAATAGAAGGTATTGCTTTTTGAGCTCTCCCACCCTCTCACTATAATACCCCCTATGTTGGACAAGGTGTATTTTCTAATGATATTTTAATAGAGGGTAATGCTTGGAGAGCTCTCCCAATCTCACTTTAAGGCACGTTTCTTGGAAATCGTATTATGTGTATATTAAATAGAGGTGTAACTATTATTTGGGGTATCTTATACTCAAGATCTGACTTTATTTTGTTTAAAAGGTCGGCCATATCCAGCATGATTTTGTGCGTTCTCCTTCAGCTGCCCAACAATCCCGTTCTTCCAGAAATGACTGGAATTACCCCCCACAACCACCTCAAAAACAACCTCAACATTGGAATTGGCCAACAACAAAAACTTTAAATTATCAAAAACCAAACGGGGAAATATCAAATAAATGGCCAAACGAATCTTTAACAACACAAAGGTTATCTAGGGCACAAATGCCCCATAGAGATAATTACAATACAATGACTACATCAATGCCTTCCTCTACAATACCCTTTACTGAACAACCTATAGTGAGAAATTTTTAGATAAAAAAATAATCCTTGCTAATGTAAGCGGTTGGGCATGATATACGAGTCAAAATTAAAGCTATTAATTTTGCAATAAGGAAAGGAGAACAAGCTAGCTAGAAGAAAGCCATTAAGAGCTTTATAAAGCCATTTATAAAGCCATCATGACATTAACTAAATTTTCTTAGTTCCACAAAATTAAACTGTTCCGCGGCCTTGGCCCTAACGATTCCAATTTCTTAGCGTTTTCAGTTCCAGGAACCTCAACGGCGGTTCCTAAAACCAAGAGAAAAATCTGTTCCTGGTTGAAAAGAATTTATTAACTGTTTATTATAATTTTAAACTAGCCTCCCCTTCTAAATGAAAATTTTCTAGGTTTTTGAACAAGCTAAAAGAGCAACCCCAACACTTTTACAACAACAACAGTCAACAGGTACACGTCGTCGTCCAATACCCGGTGTTCGTCCATCTCCGCGTCGAAGTGAAATGGATGCTTTGTGTGATCCAGAATTTTATCTTTCATATTCAACACCAACCGCCTCGCCTATTCTTAATAAAAAATATCCTTTGAAGGAAAAAAATATTGAGAGAAATCTCTCAAAATCTGTTCCCGATGGAAAAGAATTTAATCAAATGGCTAAAAAGTAAAGATAATTTTTTGGATCTGGTCTAGTTTATGAGTCCCATGAAGGATGTTGAGTCCTATACTTCTTTTTTGTTGCTGTGGAAAGGCTTGGGGCTATATTTAGAGGCTCCCTGAGTTGCCTCAGTTGACTGAGTCTTTTGCCGAAATCGCCTTTTTTGGTGTTTCAACCTTCGTCCTTCTCTTTTTAAAATTAATTTTGGCACACACCTGGTTACGTACCATATCATCAACAGGATTCACAAAATTAATTGTGATTGACCAATTGTTGAGACTATAATGAAAAAAATTTGCCCCCCACCCCCATTAACCAATTTCTAAGACTATAATTGAAGATAATTTGCCCATCACCCATCATAAACTGCATCTCCTTTATTGTTGTTCTTTCAGCAATATGGGAAATTCTGGAAAAAATAGAAAGGCACCTTTATTGTTTTTGGGCCTTAAAAATTTCTTTCGATTCATAAGCTAGACCTTTTCTAGGCCCATAACTAGATATATTCGTATTCATAAACTAGACCAGATTTATTTTATATTTTTTAAAGTGAATTACAAAGAGATGATGTTAAAGAATTACTTGCACAACATTTAATTGGCAACAATAATAAGGCTAATTTTAATTCATCCGTTCGTCGTTCACAAACACCACAAAATCCTTTAATTACTTCCAAAGAATTAGATAAACCTTTAAAAATGGATGATGATTATAGAGCTAGAAATTGTAGATCAGTTAATTCTACACCTTTGATTAGGTAAAGTAAATTATTGTTCTCCACCTAAGTAATCCTCTCATTTATATAGATTTTTTAAAAATTTTCTAGGGCACTCGGGACTTTTCCCAGCGATACTCTCAGTTATATAAACCAGGGATCCTGCCATAAAAAACCAAAATTTCCTATTTCGGGAAATTGAGAATTCCCGAAATCTTTCCGATTCCCAATTTCAGGAAATCAGAATCTCGGCCCAAAAATAACGTCGGGAATTTCCGATTTTCGGGAATCGGGACGGCTTGATCCCTGATATAAACCTCCACATATACCTATGCCTCTCAAATTAATATACGTTTCTTTAATTTTGTTCAGCCTTACTAACATTTGGTTGAGTATCCGTTCCCAAGGGATATAGTAGGTATATTGGAATATCCGTTATTTATTTTTATATATACATATGTATATCAGTTATTTAATATCCAATATCCGTTCCCAAAATTTTTAAAAATTTTTAAAAATAAAAAATTGCTATTAAGTGAGATGACCATAATTAAAAGTTTAATTTTTTAAAGAAATCGTCGGCTATTTTTATACAAAGACGTTGATGAACCTTCTACAGACCCTGAATGTGCTGAGGATTGGCTACATTCAAAATTACAAGCATTAAAAGGCCGTAGAGAGCCTATTGCTAGAAATAAAAAAGAAGCAGAAAAAATGCTTCTTGAAGTAAAATTTAAAATTAATTTGGAGTTCTAGTTCATTTTATGAGCCCCCTAAAGTTGTTTGGATTTTCTTTGGTTTTCAAAGTTAGGTTTGAGTTCAGGAAGATTTTTTGCTTGTGACACATGGACGTTGGAGGGGATATGCACCAGGGATCATACACATATCAATTTCGAGCAGTTATTATGAGTTTTCTGAAAATTTTGAAATTAATACCCAGTCAAAAAAAGTCAAAAACCTCAAATGCCCATAGTTCTCGACGACAAAATATGATGAACTCAATTACTACGAAACCCAAACAAAATCTTATGTACCAGGGAGGGGCCCTGCTGGATTTAAAAACAGCAGATCGAATTAGAAGCGGAATAGCTAAGAAAGGAGGGGATTTCAAAAGCTGGAAGCGGAAGACAGCCCGTCCCTGGTATATGCAACATTATGGGACTCATAATCTGGAAAAGGACTTTAAAAATTTTACTTCTTAATTTTAAAAGGAATTAAAAAATAAAGCAACAAAATTAATATCAAAAGAAAACGAAGGAGATCCATTAGAAGAATACAAAAAAGAAGAACAACGACTAAAAAATACAAAATCACCGTTCAATACAGAAATTGACGGGCTTAGAAAAGCAAATAAATTTTTACAAAATGAGAGGGCTAAACAAAATTTCTTTAAGCAAAGTTCGATTTTTATTCGGAAATTTTAAAAATATTTTTTTAAAAAGATCCTTCTTTTATTTCCTCAACAATTTCAAAAAGTTTACCTTCCACAAACGAATTTTTTGCAACTCAGCGTTCTTTAAGTGCTGCACCGGGAATTAATAATAATTTTAATTTTAATGGTCAAAGTCAACATTTTGGCAATTTAAATTCTGATTCTCCTATACCACAGGCTAATGTTAAAAGAGGTATATCCTCAGTTTAATATACAGTCAGACCTCATTATAAGATACACTCATTATTAGATACCTCCAAATACTAGATACCCCCAAATTTAGTGGCCTATTATATAAAAAACGTTTTTGAATTTTGTTTGATTACTAGGTATGAGGAGCAGTTCTATACGCTCTGTTTAAGATACACCTCATTATAAGATACTTCTCATTATAAGACCCAATTTATCAGCCCTAAGGGGTTTGAGTGCAGCTGATATCAACTGAAGACATTTACCTCAATACCCTCTTTTTATTTTACACCTCGTTGTAATATACACCTCTATTTAAGAGACGTTTTTTAATTTGCTTGGGTACTGGGCGGGAAGCCGCTAAAGCGATACCCCTCGATACCACTCTAATTTGGTGTCTACAGGGTTGGGGGGATACAATTTATCAGCCCTAAGGATTTGCGGACAAACGCTGTCAGCTGGACATTTATCGCTATACCCTCTATTTAATATACACCTCGTTATAAGGGACGATTTTTACTTATGGGTGTATCCTATATAATGAGAACTGACTGTAATTCAAAAATAAATTTATTTTTCTTTAATTTTTAGGAGCAACACCAACAGGACAAATAATTAGTTCAAAACCTCCAACACCTCCCCCAAACATTAAAGGAGATTATCGTGAACGTTCAAAAAGCCCGCACAATTCAAAATTAATTTTAAAAAATTCTTCAAAAAAATCTTTTGAAGAATTGGAACCTTCAACTTCTTCTTTAACTAATTCTGCTGTAAATCCAAATTTATTAGCTTTGAGGCAATCACTTTATGCAAAAGAAAGGCAAAGAATGGGGTTACCTTTAAATGGAAATGTTAATGAATTAATTAATTATGAAAATAATAATGACGAGGATGAATTTGTATCTTCAATAGAGACTCAAAAGAAGAAGAAATGGGCACTTCCGGGTTTGGCAAAAAATACGGAAAGTGTAAGAGATTTTTTGAAGCTAATAACAGTCAAACCCTCATTAAAATATACACCTCCTTGGGGCTGAAAGATGAGTCTCTTATAATGAGGTGTATCTTGAATAGAAGGTATCTCTCAAGTGGCTCTCTCACCCGGTAGCCAACCGAATTTTGAGAATCGTCTCTTGAATAGAGGTGTTCCAATATTGGTGGTATTTTATATAGAGGGTACTTTATAATGGGGTTATCTCAAATAGAGGTATCTTAAGTGGCTACCACCATCCAGTGGCCAACTGAATTTTGAGAAGCGTCTCTTAAATAGAGGTGTTCTAATATTGGTAGTATATTATATAGAGGGTACCCTATAATGGGGTTATCTCAAATAGAGGTGTCTCAGATGGCTCCCACCATCCAGTGGCCAACCGAATTTAAAAAATCTCTTAAATAGAGGTGTATCTAGTATTGGGGGTATCTTATAGTGAGGGTCTGACTATAATTAATTTCTAAAAATAATTTTTTTAAATATTTCCTTTTAAAGAATTTCCAACAACAAAACAATTTAAATAATCAACAATTAACAAATGTAAAACCAATATTAAAAAGAGGTACTCAACAACAACAACAATTAAATAATGGAACAGAATCTCCAATTTTAAATAATAAAAAACAATTTAGTGAAGTTGGTTCTTATTTTGAAAAATTATTTTCTCCCTTTCTTTGATCTGATAATTGTTTTTCATTGTTTAAGTAAGAAGGGAAGAGATCCAGCTGGTTAGCATTTAAAATGCTTAAGGTGCAGGTTTAAGATCTTTCAAATGAAAAGGTGAACTACTTACAGACTGAAGAATTTTCTTCTTGCTCTACCGGGTGCTCTACCTACTGAAGAATTCAGTCGGTAGAGCAATCACCCTGTAATTGGTGTTTTCAGTAGGTGTTTTCAGGTTTTTCAGTTGGTAGAGCACCCTGTACTAGGTGTGAGCGGAAGCGCCAAGCAATAACTGCTAGGAGTTCATAAGATCGAAAATTTACAAAGTTCCTTTTTTTACGATGTATTAAAAATCAACGTTTGTCCCAACCTTTTAAGGTTCCTACCCTTCAGTCAGATTTATTTTGGTTATCCTTGATCCTTATTTTCTATTGTTTGGTACCATTACGTTTTTTAAAATGTTGCGAATTAACAAGGAAATAATTAGAAATTTTTATCAAAGATAAAAAATGTAGTAGTTAAAAACAAATCGCGCACCTTAGCCGCACCTTATAAGTAGTACATAATGGATTTCCTTCTTAAAAATATTTGAAGAATTTTTTCTTTCCATTTACTATTAATAATATACCATTAATATCATCCACTATACTGCAGTAAATAAAATAAAAATAAAACATTCTAGTATTTATTTTCCATATATCACAACCAACCATTCTAAAAACATAGGAGAATTATGACTAATCTTTTTTCTTCTTCGATTATTCGTCCCTTTTATTTCCTTTCTAGAAATAAAAATATTTATTTATTTAATCAATTTTTAGGATTTAACACCAAATAATTATCAAAAACAACAATTTAACGGCAATAATTGGTCATTAGAACGTAGTGATACCCCACAATTCCCTCTAGTTTCTGACAGAGAAACACCACTTCCTTATCACCCACTTTTATACAAAAGTGATGATTCTAGCCAAAAATTAATTTTTACAAAAAATATTAGTCAATCTACTATTCCTGCTAATAGGTAAAAATTTGAAAAAAATATTTTTAAAAAATTATTAATTTTGGAATAGGGTGTAATAGGGGGAATAGGGTCCATTTTTGGAATAGGGGTCAGTGTTGTGTCCGCACTTGCAGAAAGAACATAAAGAAAGTTAACCCAACATTGGGTTGGATGGTGCCACAGTCGGTTGTGCTTCGGTTTGGGCCCTTTCCGTGATGGTTCAATTCCATCTCCCATCCAACCAATTTTTCCACAGCTTGAACAATCGGACATGACAGTCAGGGACCAAATCCTGGCAATCTAGGGACTTATTCCCTGGCAATTTATTCCCTAGAATCCACGTTTGAAAAAATTCTCTCCGATGGGTAGGGGACCAAGCAAGTGACCAACTCTATTTCAGAATAAAAATATATTTTCATATAGGCGGACCTCGAATTCATATTTTTTTATTTATACTCCCAAAAGGGTTGTCAATTCTTGGAAAATTTTTGGATATCCGGAACCAAACCGAAGAACCTAAAGGAAAAATCTTGTGCACTTCGGTTCCCTTCTAAGCAGCAGAACCTTACTTCCAAAATTATTTTTTAAATTTTTTTTTTGCCCTGAATTCTAGGACCGATTTAGTATATATTTTTAACATTTTTCAATCATATTTGTTTTTTTTCCTTTTTTGGCATTCCCAAAGGTGCCAGTTGCCTTTTTTTACGACCCAACATAAAAATAGCATTTTGTTGCCAAATTTTTATTTTTTTACTAAATTCTCTTTCCAAAAAAATACGAGAAAAATATTTTTAATATTATAGTAAACCCTCCTTTTTAATTACTTTCCTTGTGAAGGAAATATTATCTCATAAAATTAGAATTACACCTTAAATTTGGAATACTTTCCCATTTTTAATTTAAGTTTTTTTCAATTAAAAATAAATTTTTTCAATTAAAGAATAGGCAATTTAACTCCTCAATCAATGTACGGACTTGGACAAGGAAATGGATTTGGTCGTCGGGCATCTCTTAATTCTATTGGTGGGTAGATATATTTTTTTAATCAAAATACCTAAATCCAAAACAAAATAATATCTTAAATTAAATTACCAAACATATTTTTATTTTAAAATCAAAAAATACTTTAATACTGCTTTTAATTGTTGGGTTTTTGCTAGGCTTGAGACAGAAACGAAAGCTTTAATAAAAATCTAAATTTTGGGATTTTTCAAGGTATCTATCTGATTCTTGTACGGGCTTCCCAATACGCTCTCTTCTAGAGACCTTGTTTCTTATTGGATACAGAGTTCTTTTAAATAAATACAATTTTTGGTCTCAAGTAGATAACAATAAAAAAATTTTTTTCTTTAATTTTTGCAATAACAAAATTACAAACAAAAACAACCAGCAATTGTTTATAAATATTACACACATTTATTTTTTCAATTAAATTTTTTTAAAGATTTTATAAATAATATAATTTATTTTTTACTTTTAAGAGAGATTTTTAAAACTTTATTTTCTTCCATTTTTTTCTATTAAACTTCAATCTTCTCTCTTTTTTAGTAATTACTTACTAGGTAGTCAACTTCGTTTTGTGTCCCCTTAGGTTAAGCGCATTAAATAATTATTAAAATTCGACAAAATAATTTTTAAAATTTAATTTATTTTTCTTTATGTTCCTAAAAGGGTTGCCTATTTTTGGGCGAAAAATCAGAGTCTCATATTTAGGATTAAGTTAGCAGGACAAAGAAAAACCTGCAATTGTCTGTAAATATTTACACATTTATTTTTACACTTACAATTAAATTAATTTTTTTAAAGATTTTATACAGTCATGGAAAAAAGTATGGAAGCGCTAGAAAATTTTTTCTTAATTCTTAATTTTTCATCAAAAAATACGTTCTATATACCAATCGAAAGCTCTATTCGTATCTCAGTTGACATGTTTCTGCATTTTTCATGAAAATAAAAATTGGCCGAGATAATCCGGATCTACCGGATATACCAAATCCCACTTTTTCGGAAAAATTTTTCGGAACAAATTTAACAAACCCAAATGATAAAGCATATTTTTGTGACTAAGATACGAATAGAGCTTTCGATTGGTTTCTGCCATTTTTCTTCCATTTTTCTTTCTTTAAACTTCAACCTTTCCTTTAGTAATTAATTTTATTTTCGCGCATTATTGTTCATTTCTTTAAAAAAAAATTTTTTTTTCTAATCCAATATATAAAATAAATGACCCTATTGTGTTTGATTTTGTGGTCAGTTTTATTTTTTTACATTCAATCGTGACAGACAGAAAAAGAAAAATTTGTTTTTACAATTTTTCGCGCGCCAGATGCGTTCATTTTTCAAGTTATTTATTTCTTTTTTTATTTTTAGTCTGTTCGAGCTTTTTAAATTTATTTTTTAATTAAATCATTATCAACGCTTAACTGATCCCAACCCCCACTTTGAAAGCGATAAATAATTCACCCTTTTCAGCGCCGCAGGCGAAAATTTTTTGAAATTCAGAAGGCTAATGGTCAAAAATCCTCATTTTTATAAAAAAATACAAAAAATTGGGAAAATCCTAGAACCGGATCAAATCCCAAATCCGGTACAAAGAATTTGCCGGATTCGGATCCGGATTCCGGATTTGGCAATGGAGCCGGACCGGATCCGGCCGGATTTTTCCGGATTAATCCGGTCCGGTTTTAGTCCGGAAATTTCAAAAAAACCCGGATTTGGGATCCGGACTCCGGAAAAATCCGGCCGGATCCGGTCCGGTGCCGCGCACTACTATTTACATATTTTTACTAAAAATTGCGCTATTTTGGCATTTTTTGAGAGCTCTAATTATATAACACTAGGTGCCAGAAATTCTTATTTCAATTTCGGATCAATCCAGAAAAATGATATAGAAAAAATGTCTATTTTAGAATAATTTAAAATTAAACAGAATATTTAAAATATTTTTTTAACCTTTTTTCCATCTTTTTTAGCTAAAAAATAATTTTAAAAAATATAAAAAATAACCATTAAGTACACTTTTTTATTTAAAAAAAAATCCAAAAATATTTATTCCCTTCACTTTTTTTTCTATTTATTTATTCACTTGCCAATCTTTTTTTTTGGCTATTTTTATATTTATTAATTGGCCCACTCTTTTTTTTTACTTTTTTTTGCTTTTTGTTTATTCGCTTATATCCACTGTTCTCTCCATACTTTTCTCAATTTTTTGCCAAAATTTTTTTTCTAAAAATTTGAGGCTTCTGGCACTAGTTCATTTAGTACTTTAGACATTAATTACATAAATATTCCTCTAAGTTTGTTAAAAATATTTTTCAAAAATACCCTCCTACCCGTCATTGATGCCTCTATCCCCTTCCTGATATTATGAATTTTTTCCTGGATTTATTTATTTATATTTTATTTTCCCTGGACCGATATCATCCTTTCTTAAGCCCTGCAAAATTGAAGCTCCTCACCAAGGATGCGTAGGGTTACTCGAATCCGTATTCGACACAAACCCACCCCCGACTTTTTTTCCTCGACCAAGCTTCTCCAGTCCCCGCATAACCTTTCTCTGGCATTCGAGGTACAACTCAAATTCGATCACTTTATTACGTCACAAAACAATTTCACACCAGGGATGATTACCTCCTGTCCTAACCCCTTTCCCACCTTTCTCAACTAAGCTTCTCCAGTCCCCTCATACCCTTTCTCGAGCATTCGAGGTACACCTCATATTCCATCACTTTTTTACGTCTCAAAATAATTTCTTCTTCCTGAAATGAAAATTAACACGTTGTGATACATGTCAATCAAAAATCCAGTTTGTCCCAAAAAACAAAATTTCAAAAAAAATTTTTTATAAATTTTTGATTAGTTTTTTATTCTCGCTTAAATATCCATTTCTCGCCTTTTTAACATTCACTTATTTCAGCCAATTCCCGCTGGGATGACTAAAATACGTGTAAAAGTTTTTTGTGTGCCCTTCAAAATATTTGTGTGTATGACTGTTTCTTTTTTTATTTTTAAAATTAAAAAAAAATTTTTTGTGTGTTCAAATTCTCAGAATTGTATTATTCATTTTTAAATATTTATAAAAAATACGAATTGTTTTTTTCCTTTTATTTTAAAAATTAGAAGTTGGCCCAAGCCCTGACAGTGGTTTTTAATAAGGAATTGATTCTACTCTAACATTTTGAGGAAAATTAAGGTTTCCGGAGTATAGGAAGCCTTATAGGAAGTCTAATCATTTTTTAAAAAAATCATCTTTAGTTATGAAACACAACTAGGCTCTGATTTTCCATAGCCCTGACCAGGGACGAACGCATGAGACAGCCTTAAGAAGCGCAAAAAAACGCTCCTAAAATCCATGGCCCTGACATTACCGTAGAACCTGTATTATTGTCCCTCCCTTAAATAATTACTCCGCCCGTATTAAATGCCCCATGTAGAGAGCGAAAACAATAATTGCCCTCACTCAAATAATTACCCTCCTCTATTTATTACTCCATCAGCGAGAGATCGGAACAATAATTACCAAGGGTAGTTAATAAGTTTTTACGGTACCTTATTTTTAGGTAAATTAGAGGAGCTTTCCGCAGTATATCCAATCATTTTTAACTAGAAAAAATAATTTTTAAAAAATAAATTGAAAAAATAACCGCCTCTGGTTTTTCATAGAATCCCCCAATTTTGGACGGGGAATAATGAAAAATTAGACTACCCTAACAATTTATTTTTTTATTATTTTTTTAACGAACACACAAAAAAATAAAAAATTTTTGAAATAAAAATATACGTTCTATTTTTTACAAATTCCGCTTAATTTAATTCTAAAATAGTAATTTTGCTAATTTATTTTTCTATTTTTTCTCTCAATTTCAATTTTTACTTTATTTTTCTTTTTTTTAGAGTTTATTTTTATTTTTGTGTGTTCTTCCAAAATTTTTAAAATTTTAAAAAATTATTTTTTGTTTATTCAAATGGATTTTTTATATTTTTAAAAAATTGATTATTGAATTTCAAATAAGCCCCGGCCAAGGATAAAATAAAAATTCTTTTTGCCCCTTCAATCTCCTCAACAGTTGTCCTCCTTATTTTTCTTTCTTGGCTTATGTCCATTTATCTTTTTTTATTTTATTTCAAAATCTAATTGAATAAATAGGTAGATGATCTGAAAACATTTTTAAGGTACTCCTTCCTTTCCTTCTTAAAAATAAAGTCACCTGTACAGGGACAATTGTTGTTTTTGGGGTTGTTTTTAAAAAGGAATGTTGTTCAATCTACCTCTTATTTTGTGGATTCTCCCCTTTAACCTTTCTTTTTAAATCTTTTTAGTTTTGGCAAAAATAATTAGACAGCCGTTAGGAGGATATTTTCTTAGTTTTTAATTTAATATATAGGTGAAATAATTGTTTTATGGATTTTCTCTTTTTTCCGTTCACAGTTTTGCTTATTTCCCAGCTGATAGATACATAGATGCTTCTTTTACTTTTGATCTTTTTAATATTTTTAATTTTTTCCTTGTCTAACGAATTTTTTTCGAAATAAATCGAAATTAAAAAATATCCGTGCCAAAGTTTTTGCGTGATGCGCCAACCGTCAATCTTTCAAATTTTAGAAACCCGCGAAACGCAAAATGCCAAAATCGGTCTAAAAATAAATGCCAAATTAATGCGCACAGCTCTAGACTAGAGGTCGGCGCGGGACGGGATCCCGACGGGATTTTCCGGGATCCCGCTCCCGAAATCCCGGATTTTTTTGATTTTCGGGATCATTCGGGATCCGGGATTTTTTCGGGATTTATCCCTCGGGATCCCGTCCCGGCATCGGTTAAAAAATAAAATCCCGACTCGGGATCCCGGGAGTGCGATTTTGCCGACCTCTACTCTAGACTACATTACAGGGTGACCCAAAAGTTTAGGACACACTATTTTTGGCATAACTTTATTCAAGCTCAAATAAAGATGAAATCATGGGGAATTAAATAAGGAACAGGAATTTTTTAAGTTTGGTTCACCCTGTAAATTCGGATATTCCTGATTTATATTTACGGATATTTTTATTATTTTATATTTTTTTTTATTTTTAAATTATTTTCTCCTTTTATTTCCCCCATAGTTTTATTTTTTCTAAATTAATTTTTAAACAGTAAATAAATGTCAGAATCTTCTGAAATTCATTCAATTCCAATAATAAATAATTTAAACAATTCTGGACAGCCATTAATTGTTGGAATTTCTACGAGTAAAATACCAAATTCATCAGAACAAAATAAAGAAATAGTTTCTGTTGAAGTTCATCGAATAGTTCCATTGGCGGATTTAGAAGATGAAGATGAGGAGGAAAGTGAAATTGATTTAAAAGTTGAGGAATTGGTGGATAGATTAGATACGATTGATGAACATGAGGATGAAGGGAAGGGGGAAGAGGTTGAAGTAGAAGGTGAAGGGAAGGAGGAGGACAGAGGAAAGGAAGGGGAAGAAAGAAGGAAGGAAGGTGAAGAAGGAAGAGGAGTAGTAGAAAGTGAAGAAAGGGAAGAGGAAAGAAGGAAGGATGAGGAAAGAAGAATGAAGGAAGATGAAGAAGGAAGAAGGGAAGAAGAAAGAAGGATGAAGGAAGATGAAGAAGGAAGAGAGGAAGAAAAAAGAAGAAAAGAGGAAGAAATTGAAGAAGAAAGAAGAAAGGAAGAAATTGAAAAGGAAGAAGAAAGAAGAATAAAAGACGAAAAGGAAGCACAAATTGAAGAAAAGAATGAAGTAAAGTCAATTAACTGTGATATTCCAGTAATTAAAATAGCAGAAGAATCAGAATTTAAAATTTCAGAAAATAAAATATCAGAAGAGAGAGTAGAGAAAAAAGGAGAGACAGAACGGGGAGAAAAAGAAGGAGGGGAAACAGAAGGAGGAGGGGAAAAAGGGGAAGATTTGATTCTAATAAAAGAATTTAATAATAAAACAAATAAATTTGAAACAACAAAAACTTTAAATGAATATTTTAAATTTAACAGAGAAGATAAGGGAGGAGATAAAAATGTTGTAGAGAACAAAATAGCTGATGAAATGATTTCTGAAATGTTTAGTAAAATAAATGGAGGAGAAGAAGAGAATTTAAGTAATTTAACAATAGAAATGGAAATAAAAAATTCTGACAGATTATCTTCATTTTTAATAGAAAGAGTGATTTTAGAAAATAATAATGTTTATATTGAACCTTTTATTGAAGATGTGAGTCAACAAACATGTTCTGATTTTAATAAATTTGAAGAATTAATGGGAAAAGAGAAGGACAGAGAAGAAATAGTGGAGGAAAGAGATTTTAAAAATATATCAGAATTTAATAATTCTGAAATCAGAATAAAAGAACAAAAGGGAAGGGAAGAGGAAGGAAAAGAAAAACCAGAATTTAAACAATACAAAATAGAACCAGAATTTAATAATTCTGAAATCAGAATAAGAGAACAGAAAGAAAGGGAAGAGGAAGGAAAAGAAAAACCAGAATTTAAAAATTCTGAAATCAGAACTAAAGAACAAAAGGAAAGGGAAGAGGAAGAGAAAGAAAAATCAGAATTTAAAAATTCTGAAATCAGAATTAAAGAACAGAAGGAAAGGGAAGAGAAGGAACCAGAAAAACCAGAATTTAATAATTCTGAAATCAGAATAAAAGAGCAAAGGACATTAGAGTCTTGTTTTGATTCTATTTATGGATTTAACAATGATCAAAAACCAGAACAAATAATTTTCCCAGAAAAAGAAAAAAATATAAAAATAAATATTGTTAAAAATGACGACCAAAATAATAATGTTAAAATAGAAAATAAAAAGAATAATATAAAAGCAGCAGAAATTGAACTTTGTAAAATGGTAGAGGAATTAAAAGCTTTACAACAAATGGAAGAAGAATCAGAATTTATTAAAAATTCTGAAAATAAAATAAAAGAGCAGAAAGAAACGAGAGACAGAGAGAAAGCAAAATCAGAATTTTTAGACAATAAAATAAAATCAGAATTTAAAAATTCTGAAATTAAAGTGAAAGAGGCAGAGAATGGTTTTATAAAAACAGAAGAAACAACAGAAGAAACAACAGAAATGGCTAGAGAAAAAAATCAGAATAATTTAATAAAAATAATTCCAATAGAAAAAGAAGCAGAAAATAACTATAAAAATCAGAATAAATTTAATTCAACAACAAATATTATTCCAATAAAAATAGAAACAAAACAAGAAGCTTCTAAATTTTATCAATTTCCGTTTGCTTCAGCTTTTAATAATAATAAAAATATTTATTTATCTTCTACATTGCCTAAAACTACAAAACAGCCTCCTCATCCCCCTCCCGGTCAACACTCCCCTTTTGGTTATTTTAATAATCAAAAGGAGGAGGGGGAAGAAGAAGATTTTAGATTATCCCCCAAAACACTTTGTCGAATTAAAAAATTAAATATTATAATGAATACTGAACAAGGATCATTTAATAATGGGTGTAATGGTGAAGTAATTAATGGAGAGGGGAAAGGTGTTTAATTGTTTTTTTAAATTTAATGTGAGGGGAGAAAAGTCTCCCAGTCACCTTTCCAATCACTAGTCCTTAAAAATTTTCAACGAAAAAGTATTTTTTGAAATTAAAAATAATATTTGGGTATTTATTATTTGAATATACATAAATATCCGGAACCGGAACCGGAACTTCCGGTGAAACTCCAATAAATATACATATAACAAAAATTAAATTTAATAAAAAAATAGTGAAAATTTAAAAAATAAAAATGGAACTAAATTTTAATTAAAAAATAAATTATTTACAATCAGACCTGACTTATAATTACACCTCCATTTAGATTTACAGTTGTTTCGAAACAAAAAAAACTTCAAAAATCGAGATTTTTAGACAATTCTGTTTAGGATACACTTATTCTCGAATTTAGTTCATTCCCTTATTTTAAACACAATTTAAGTAGATTTTTCATCCCCAACGGTGTAACTATCTATAAGTGAGGTCTGAGTTATTTAAAATTAAAAAAATATTCCTTTTAACATTTTTAAATTTAAATATTTTTTGTAGACTCTGCCGATGTAATTCATCATCATCCAATTTTTGTAAAAGATACTAGTCGTTTTTGGTATAAACCAAAAATTAGTAGAGAAGAAGGTGTTTATATTTAATTGAAATTTATTTAAAAAATTATTTTGTAGCAATTTCAATGCTTAAAAATAAACCTCCAGGAACTTTTGTTGTCCGTGACAGTAATTCTTTTCCGGGCGCTTTTGGTTTGGCATTAAAAGTAGCCCAGCCACCTGCTGGGGTTGTGCCAGGTGAATAATAATTTTACAGACGAATCACGTTATAAGATACCCCTTTGGAGCTGGAAAGATCGTACCTTATAATGAGATGTAGCTTAGCTCCCCTATTTAGTGGCTAACAAAATTTTTTAAAAACGTATTTATGTAGGTAAATAGAGGTGTATCTAATATTGGGAGTATATTAAAATGAGCGGATCGTACCTTAAAATGAAGGTAGCTTAAATAGGAGGTCTCTCTGAAGCAGCTACCCTACCCAATGGCTAACGAATTTAGTAAGAATATCCTAAATTGAGTTTGTTTTTCAGCCCCAATGGGTTTTATAAGTGAGATATTGGGTGTATCTTATTGTGAGGTTCAACTATGTTTTTTAATTAAAAGTTTAAAAAATATTTTTTGTTAAGCTGATGGCAGTGAATTAGTCAGACATTTTCTGATTGAGCCAAGTCCTAAAGGTGTTCGTCTGAAAGGATGTTCTAATGAACCCGTTTTTGGTACATTAGCAGCACTTGTATATCAACATTCAATTACTCCTTTAGCTTTGTTTGTTGTCTCGTTAATTTTGAAAAAGTTTTTTTTCTAATTTTAAAGACCTTGTCGATTAATTTTACCTTCAATCGACCCGGCAACAACACCAGAAAGTATTAATTCAAATCAAGCTTTACTTGAACGTGGAGCTGGTAATTCTTCTTTTAAAAAAATGTTTGGTAATTTGTAAGGATGACGGGGACTATCAAAATATGCTCTAGATATACCTCCCCCCTTTCTCCCACAAAATTTTGTTTTTTAAGGCATATATCCAAATTAGAGGACGGTGCGGGGTAGGATCCACGAGGGACTTTGCGAGATCCCTAACCAAAAATCATCCACTTTTTTGATCTACGGGATTTATCCTAAGGAATCCTGTTCCGCAAAGAGGATTCGTTTTCAAAATGTTTTTTTTCAAAATTCGTATTCAAAAATTTTTTCAAAATGTTCCAAAATCCTGTTCCACAAGATCATGTAAACCGATTTTACTGACCACTAATCGACATAATGTTTAAATAAATATACATATCGGAGATGTTGCTTTACTTCCTTTTTAGCTTTCCGTCTTCCATTTGTTTTCCTATTCAATTTCTTTGGTCCTCCAATTTTAAAAATTCGATTTGCACCCATCCCTGATACATTTCTTTATTCTAATTTTTTCCTAATTTAAAGCTTGTAACGTGACTTATTTATGTTCTGTTGACACCGAAAGTTTGACAGGCCCTGAAGCTGTCCGTCGATCAACAGCATTTGTTTTAAAATTATTATTGAGGCATGAACTTCGTGCTGTACCTATACACATAAAAGTATCTGTGCAAGGAATTACTTTAACTGTAAAAAATTGAAAATTTTTTAAAATTATTTTTTGAATTTTTTTAAAAGGATAATACTCGAACATTATTCTTTAGAAGACATTACCCTGTTAATTCTGTTACTTTTGCTGGTATTGATCCTGAGAATAGAGTGTTTGTTTTTATTTATTTTATTGAATTTTGAGGGAGTAAATACTACAGAAGGGCCTCATTATAAGATACACCCTTAGGGTTGAATGATTTTCTCCTATAACTTAGATGCATCTTAAATCGAGGGATGGGCCCTCTTCTGTTTGCGCCTTGACCGTCTGCCACTTTTTATTTTGTTCTTCGGCCTTTCGTTTTTAAAATGTCAAGAGATCATCCCTATACTATACCCCCACAATAGTACAGTACTTATAAACCATGGTACTGGACAGGACCCAATGACTTTTGTTCCCCTTTTAATAGAGTTAAGTTATGTCCGCAAACATCGACAAAAGAAATATTTTTTATTCAAAAATTTTTTTCTAGTTTTGACAATAATAATGTTATACAATTACCTCCAACATATGTTAGACAGGTTTCTTATTTCCAAAAAAAATTATTTTAAAAATAAAAAAATTAAAGGCTCCAATCTTTGGATTTGTTGCTCACAAAATTCCAGTTAATGGAAATGTAGAAAATTCTTGTCATATGTTTGCTGAATTGGACCCAGGCATTTTATATTAGATTAAAAAAATATTTTTTTTGAAATTAAAGATCAACCAGCTTCAGCTGTCGTTAGATTTATCACAAATGTTATGATGCCTGCTGGACGTGTACAATTACAACAAAGGCATCAACAACAACAAAATAATAATTATAATTTACATTAGAATACATAGTCGGATTTCATTATATAAAATACCCCTTAGTACTTCATAGTGAATCTAAGAGACACCTCTATTTAATAGACGTTTTTAAAATTCTGTTTGAAGGAAGTTCTGGTTTGCCACTGGGTCGTAGAACTTTTAACCCTCTATTTAAGCTACTCCTATATAAGAGACAATTTTTTCAGCCCTAAGGGGGTATCATATAATGAGGAGTTTACATTAGAGATGGAGCTGGGTCTGGAATAAGGCCTGGGTTTTTCCTGTACACAGAGTTCAGGCCCAGGCATTTTGTATCTTCCTGGCTTTTTCCTGGGCCTAGGTTTTTCCCGAACTAACGGGCCCAGGATCCTGCCCAGGTTAATAAAAACCCAAAACCCAGGAACAGGCTCAGGCTTTTCAAAAATCTCGATTTCAAGTTTACATACCCTATTCAGCTGTCCAAGTTTCAGCTAATTTTTGAGATACCTCTTTATAGGACAATTTTTCCTACTCTCATGGGGGTATATAATGAAGTCTGAATGTATAAATAAATTTATTTCTTTTTAATTAAATTCCCAGTCAATTAATTTTTTTTATTTTCCCAAATTAAAAAAAAATATTTTATTATTTTTTATCCCAATTATTGCTCACATCGATTCAATCAAAAAATATTTTTTTATAAAAATATTTTTCAAAAATTTTCATAAATTGCCTTATATTTAAAAAAATAAATTTGAATATTTAAAAATAAATTTTATTTTTTTATTCTCATTTCTGCCTTTATTTCTTAATTTTTTAATTTCTAGATTTTATTTTTAACGATATTTTTTAAACAATTTTGTAAAATTAAAAAAAAATTAATTTTTTGTTCTAATTTTGTGTCTTCAAGGTTATTTTAAAAATATATATTAAAAGCTTGGTGTGTATTTAATTTTTTAATATACAAAAAATTCTGCAAATTTTTGGAACAAAAAAATTTTTAAATACTCGTTTCCAAGAATAATACTTATTGTTAGACCCAGTCTTGCCTAGATTGACTCATGCCAATTTTAAATTTTGTTTTTAATTATCTGTCTCGGATTGATGGATCTTGATTGATGGACTTGCTATTTTAAATTGCAGGATTTTATCAAAACAAATTGCTAAATCAGTCGAATCCTTCAAAAGTGTACAACTTTCGGTCTAAAAAAATTATATACTAAACTGCTTATTCTTCCTAAACTGATACATTAGTGGGAACATAATACATATAATGACTGTACTTTGAATATGTAATATCCCCACCCCTTAGTCCTCCCATATCCCTTTAAATAATTCTTCAACTGACAAACTTCAATCTGAAGAGAATTTTGGAAACTTGACCCGAAACCTGACCCGGCTTCTTTCTCAACCTACTTAATCCATCATGATAAGATTACCTTGCCATAGATTTTTAGATCTATTGATACTTTACAAGAGCCTTATTTCATGGCCAAAACTCTCGATAACTCGAAAATTCTTTTTATAAAAAAAACAATTAATCTACCCAATATTTAAATATATTTACGTAAAATTATAATTGTTATGTATCTAGATATACCCTCATTTAAATATAAAAATGTCCTCTTTCCCAATTATAAAAAAATGTTTCTTCTCGGCTTTTTGCTTTCTCTTGGTAATATAAATATTTTTTTATTTTAAAATTGCTATGCAAACAAACCCGTTGCTATGGACGCTTTGAAAAATTGGTTATAAAAATATTTAAATTGGGTAATCTTTTAATTTTTCTTTTTTTTTATTTGAAAATTTTCTTTTAAATATTTTTTTTGAAATTTTGGTGAATTGAAAATTAAATACAGGCGAACCTCATTTTTAGATACCCCCTAAAACTACTAAAGCTAGATACGCCTAAGTTATGATACGTTTTTCAAGTTGGTCGGCCACGTATACCGTAATTAAATAACTTCTTTCAAATACTGTATTAACCACCCAGCGATAAATTGTAACAATAATTATTCCCCTCTCATATACCTGCCACCTTATCCCTCGGTTAATTACTCCCTCCAGGGAAAGGCTAAGACAAATAATTATCCAGGGAAATTATTTGAGTAAATACGGAAGGGGAGTTGGTTAAGCTGCCCCCTACATATTTAGAGCTTCTCATTGCAAGATATGATTTTTTCAAGGAGATGTATCTAAAAATCGGGTTCAAATTTAATTAAATATAAATAATTTTTTATTTAAAAAAACAGATTAAATTATTTGAAAAAAATGTTATTTTTTCTTTCTTCTTTTTACTCATGCCAGTAATTAATGGGAAATTGTGTTGGAGGTTTTAAACGGAGAACGAACCGGATTGCCCCCTGGAAGCGAAATAAAGCTATTGTTCTTTGTTTTCTTGGGGTTGATGGTGCTGGAAAGACAACAATAGTTAAAGCATTACAAGGAGGTTTAAATTTTAAATTAAATTCGAACCTCATTATAAGAAGCCCTTGGGTTCAAAATAAGAGGGATACTTTGTCCAACCAAAATCTAGCCAAATAATGTGGAGGATGGGCAATAAGATGTTCAGTCGACTAGATATACCATTAGGGCTGGAAAATCGTACCTTATACTGAGATATATAAATGGAGAGGGGCACTGTCTTCGCACTGTCTATAAGACCTTGGGGCTGAAAATTGACCTTATAGGGTACAGTGTATCTTAAATAGGGAGGTATCGCTTAAGCAGCTCCCTCCAATCAGTGGGCAACTGAAATTTTTAAAAACGTTTCTAAAATAGAGGTATCTAATATTGGGGGTATCTTGTAGTGAGATCCGATTAATAAAAAAAATCCCATTTTTAAGAGGATTTCGGCACTGTCCACCAAACTGTTGGATTTAGCAGAGCAGAAGTAAACATCCTCAAATACAAAGTAACCGTTTACGATCTGGGTGGGTCCCAAAGAATAAGAGAAATTTGGACAACATATTTTGCTGAGGTCTACGGAATTGTTTATGTCGTCGATTCTAGCGCCGCTAGCAGAATATCAGAAAATAAACAAATTGTGGATGAATTAATTGAAGTATCCGAATTAATGGGGAAGCCGATACTTTTCCTTCTAAACAAAAAAGATTTGCCAGAAGCAATGGACGAAATCCAATTTTCTGAAAAATTCAAACTTCACAGTATGGCAAAAAGGAATAAAACGGATATAAGGGTGGAAGGTGTTTGTGCTGTTAAAGGAACGGGGAAGGAAATTGATCAAGTCTTTTTAAATTATTTAAAAAAAATTTAATTTTACTTAAAGGTAATTGTTGAAGGATTGGAATGGTTAATTGATAAAATTTTGGATAATTATGATAATATTTCTAAAGGTGTTGAAATTGCACTTAAAAAACTTAAGGAAAGACAAGCTCAAGAAAGGCTAGAAAGACAACACAGACTGGCTATTGCGTAAATATTTTGATTAAAGATTAAATTTAAATACGCTCCAAGCTCACTATAAGATACCCACTTAGGATTGAAAATGATACCTTATAATGAGGTGTATCTTAAATAGAAGGTATCGTTAGACATCCAAACCCATTAAGTAGCCAAACAAGGGTTTAAGGAACTTATATGGTTTGGGTACTCTTTTTTAGCCACGCCCTTTTTTCCTTTTCCTTCATCAATCAACCTTAGTATGGACAGAATGGTCAGCCTTTCTTTCTTCCTCGATTTTACTTAACTTTTCCTGTGGCATTTTCAGTGAGAGACATTAACAAGGAAAAGATTAATTTTCCTTTCCAATTTCACCAAAATTGAATTAACATTTGAATCAATATTCTTATTTTTATCTATTTCAATTATTTAAATGGCAATAGGTATCCCGGTTCTACGTTTTGGAACTAAAGGTTCGGTATTTTATTGTGTTTTCCAGTTTTTGCATGTTTAAAATCATATTTTTTACAAAATGCCGACCGTTTTACCCCTTTTTAGAAATTTTTGGACCCCTGTAATTCAGCTCAGAGATCTTACGGACCGAGTTTAGTGCCATACGTCTCAGCCCAGCTCGATGACTCATCCAAGTCAGCTCTATTTCTCTCTTTATTTTAAACAAAAATTGACCTCAACTCAATTAATTGATGGTTGAGAGGGAAAAAGAGTAAAAGAATAATGATGGAAAAGGAAAAAAGGGCGTGGCTAAAAAAGAGTACCCAAACCATATAAGTTCCGGGTTTAAAACATTTATTAAGTAGAGGTGTATTTAATACCAAAGGGTGTCTTGTAAGCAGGGCTGCACGCAATTGAGGTTTGCGAGTTGCGGATTGCGGAATTTTTATCTCAATTGCGTGCAGCCTTGCTTGTAAGGGGGGCTCCAGCCCTTGTAAATACATAATAAAATTTTTCTATTCTCTTTATTCAAAATTATTAAATTTTATTTATTATCAAAAGTTATCTTAAAAATATAATTTAAAATAATAATTTATAATTGTCAATATAAAAACCTAATTTATTATTATCGCAAATCCTCGCAAATTATCGCAAATTATCGCAAATCCTCGCAAATCATCGCAAATCCTCACAAATCCTCGCAAATTATCGCAAATTATCGCAAATTATTCCACATACCAAATTTAGATTTTATTAGAAAACCTTAGATTTATAAACTAAAATATTTGAAAACATTAATTAATTCTAGAGTAAGAGCGATGTAAAAGTTTAATCCCGGGCAGGCTTCGATCCTGCGACCTCCTGGCAGTTATTGCTAGGCGCTTTCGCTTACCACTACAGGGTGCTCTACCAACTGGGGACACTGCTTTCACCTTCTCTTTTAATAGATCTTAAACCCTCGCCTAGTAAGCGTTTTAAATGCTTTTTAAAAATTTAAGAGCAGCACTTTCCCCAGAAGATAGTCCAGAAACTAGAAGTGAAAATAATGCTGACAAAGAAGAGACGCATGAAAGAAATATTGAAGAAACTAATGAAATAAAAGATAATGAAGATATTTTGTCAAATGAAGTGCCTTCTTTAAAACAAAATGGAAATATTATTCAAAAAAGAGCTCAAAGTTCATTAAGTAATGGAAAGGTATCATTGAAAATTTCTAGTTAAAATTCTCTTTTTACTTTAAAGACTAATGAAAGAAGAGAAAGTAGCACCTCCATTTCTACTTTAAATCGACGACCAGCAACTTCGGGAAATGGAGAAGTCGATTTTAAAGTTTTTGAAATTACAAATAAAAAGTCGGAAAATGAAGCAATGGAAATGAAAGAAATGGAGGAGGGAAAAGTTAAGGAAAATGAATAAAAAAAAAATTTTTTAATAAAATTTTGTTATAAAGTCGTTTTTTAAATTTATATTTGATCCTACTTATTTTTTGTGGATATAAATTTTATAAAATTATTTTATAGAATATTGTTAAAATACAGCAAACAATAGCAAACCAACAGAAAAAATAGGAAAAAAATATTTCATAAACTGAGACTCAAATTACCGTAAACCTAAAGGTTTAGGCTTCAAAAGGTTTAGGCTAAAAACAACCACGTGTCGAAAGAGTCTCAAAAATATAGTCTCTTGGCTAACATTTTGGGCCATAACTTTTTTGTTTCTAAATCAATCGGAGTAATTTTTGGTATCATTTGAAAGCTCAGAATGTGCTTGTTCTTTTCCAAAAAGAATTGTCTAGTTCCCACCGTCATACAGAAAGTTACAAGCTGTTAAATGCAGACAATCGTGATTTATTGTACTTAGCGGCGCATAACTTTAAAAAAGAGATGGTTGGATTAGATTAGAAAGCTAGTAAAAAAAGAATATGATAGATAGAGACCCTGAATGATATTAAAAATTTTCGGAAATGATCGAAATAAAAAAATTTATACCCCAAAAACGAAATTCCTCGACACATTCGATGAGACTCTATTGTCAAGCAAGCCTAAAGGTTTAGGTTTGCACTGAAACACATTTTACATTGCAGGACATTTCAGTCTGGGCGTGTTGAGTCTGAGTCTACTTTTTTCAATCTTTGGTTAGGTTTACAAGGAGAGTTTGCGAGGTGTCCGCCTAAAAACGATCGAGACCGGACTCATTCAATGGAGAATGTGCTCTTAGGATTTTGAGCCGTTTTTGCCCGTTTTTTGATCTGACCAAGATATGGCCCTCCAAAGTTCCAAAATTTGGCAAAATTTTTCCCCTCAAAATTTTTCCCCCTTGATAACGTGTGACTGTTAATTATTGGAAACTTTGTTTTTTTATCTGATTTAATTTAGAATTTTAAGGAAAATCGTATTTTCGAATTAAATTTAAAAATCAATTTATTTATAGAAAAAATTATTTTTAGGTGAAAATGGCAGCTTTATCATGTCGATTCTATGAAAATGAATTTCCGGATATTGAAGATACTGTTATGGTTAAAGTCCAGAAAATTGAAGATATGGGTGCTTATGTAACACTTTCTGAATATGATGGAAAAGAAGGAATGATTTTATTATCTGAATTGTCACGTCGAAGAATCCGTTCAGTCAATAAATTAATTCGTGTTGGAAGAAGTGAATGTGTTGTTGTTATTAGAGTGGATAAAGAAAAAGGTTTTTTAAATAAATTATTTTGGGAGGGCTTCTTCAGTTTTCCCCTTGTTTTCTTGAAACAATCAACATCAGCCCGAGCCCATTTTCAAATTAGTTCGTAGTAAACGCTCATCACTTATTTTTAACCAAAGTTTCAGTCCGCCATTTTTCTCTTCTGCCTGCGCTAGACTCTGGGTTTTTATTGACCTGGGCCGGATCTTGGGCCTGTTGTAGTCCAGGAAAAACCAAGGCCTTGGTCCAGACCCAGCTCGATTTCTCCTTTTTACCTGGCTTAAGCGTCTATGCTAGGGATTGGATAGAGGCGGGATCGACCAAAAATTTCATTTCTCATTAAATCATTATTCTTTAACATATTGACCAAGGTTGCCGTGGGTATAGAAAATCTTCGGGTACGGGTATCGGGTTGGAGCGTTTTCATTTCGGGTTGGAAAAAATATCGGGTACGGGTTTCGGGTTGGAAAATTTTCTTTTCGGGTATCGGGTACAAAAAAAGGCCGGGTATCGGGTTTCGGGCGGCAACCCTGATATTGACCCTATTCTCTTACAACCCTCTCACTCCGCCTAATTATTTTTTAAGACTACTGGGCATATAAAGAAGATTTTTTGGGAAAAATGAAGCCCTTAAAATTCAAAACTCTCCATTAAATAAATTTAAAGGTTATATCGACTTGTCCAAAAGACGTGTATATTCCAAAGACTTAATTCAATGTGAAGATCGTTTTGCTAAAGCAAAGGCTGTTAATAGTATTTTAAGACATGTAGCTGATCAATTGGGATATACAGAAAATGAAAAGTTGGAAGAATTGTATCAAAAGGTTTTTTTTAATTTAGTTTTTTTAATCTTCAATTATTTCTTTTAAGACTGCTTGGCATTTTGACAGAAAATTGAAGAAAAAAGCTGCTTCTTTTGAAATATTTACCAAAGCTTTAACGTTGGGTTTTTTATAATTTTAGAGATTTGTGGGTTCTCCCAAAAAGGTTATGCGGATAAAAGATTAAAAGTGTATAACTCCAATAATTACTCCGCTGAAAGCATCTCCAGATTTTTTCATTTTTCTCAAATTAACTCGGAAAATGATTTCTGAATAGTGATCTAAATTCGGTAATTTTTCGGCTGAAGGAGTGGGGGGGGGGGGGGTGGTGGGAGTTCAGATGAAGAATTACCCTAAATTTCTATACTAAAAGAAATGAGGCAAATTCTTTTCATTCAAGAGTGAAATTATCCATTTATTTTTTCAAAATAAAATGAAGGAAAAACTTTCTTGTTCATTTCTTTAAGGAGAAACTTGGGAGAGCCAAGGCCCTCTTGATCAGAAAGCTAATAAATTTGTCCGCATAAATATGTGCTCATTATTGGGATAACTCAAAAGTGTCATAATCCCCAAGTTTTTCTAATTTTTTTCTTTAAGCGAACCAAATGTTTTTGATGAATGCGGAATTGAAGATCCAATAAAAAATAAATTGCTTGAAGAAATTCGCAAAAAATTAGCTCCAAAACCTCTAAAAATCCGAGCAGATATTGAAGTCAGTTGCTTTTCTTATGAGGGAATTGAAGCGGTTAAAAAGGCTTTAATTGCTGGTAAAAAATGTTCAACTGAAGAATTGGTTATTAAGGTTAATTTTTAAATTTTTTAATTAAATTAATTTTTATTTTATTAGATTAATTTAATTGCTGCTCCTCTTTTTGTTGTTAGTAAGTTAAATTTTCATTTTTTTTACAAGTCGAACCTCAATATGAAATAAACTCAATATTAGACACACCTCCATTTAAGATAACTTCAATCTGTGGTTGACCTAATCAATTAGGTGTGGTTAATTGTGGGTATGGGAGATCTGTTAAGGCAATTAGGCCCGTAGCCAGGTTTTTTTTTTCGGAGGGGGGGGGGGGCAAGGGGGGAAAATTTTTTGCGCCAAATTTTTGGCGCAGAAGGCGCCCCTGGCTACGAGCCTGAAGGCGATAGATACCCTCTATTTGAAATACATCCCGCTATAAGATACACCTCGTTATTAAGTACACCCAATACTAGGTACTTCTCTATCCCCAATTTAAGAAGTGTTCAATTATTATTTAATTGGCCACTGGGGGAGCTGCCGAGACAATACCCTCGATTTAAGATACCCCTCATTATAAGAGACAAGTCAGTCCGAAGGTGTATTTATAAGCGGGGTTATGTTTTTTTTTAATAATATAGATGTATTTATTCTCCAGCTACACAAACAATGGATAGAGAAGGTGGATTTAAAGCAGTTCAGGATGCTCTTGATGCAATAAAAACAACTATAGAATCATATGAAGGAAGTTTTAGAATTATTATGGCGGTTAGTTTTATTTTTATTGGGACTTGTCTCTAGTGTTTTTGCACAATTTTATTGCGGATAAACCTTTATGCCTTCTATCCTCTTACAATAAAAAGTATCTTTCCATTAGAAAAGTCTCGTCTCTTCTTCAGCCATAAAATGTGTTAGGTTATAATGATGGTTTTAATCTAATCGGGAGGAAGGATTTTGTCCTTATTTTTGTATCATATAGGTTGAGTTATTCGACACTTGGAAAACCCATGTCTTTCTAGACCCCCTAAATTGAACTAGATTTTTTATTTCGTCTCTCGGGACTTAAATTACGAGACTAGCTTTAATTTTGGTTCGACTTTCCCAGCATTAGTTAATCGACATATACTTCTCGTTGGGTCCTAAAATAATATTTTTCCATAATCAAAATAATTTCTGACCAAATTTATAGCCAAAAGTATTGACTGATTTGGATGAGGAAGAAATTAAAAAAAGAATGGAATTGCTTGAAGAAGGTGACGAAGAAGGAGGAAGTTCTGATGATGAAGGTTTGGTGGCACCTAAAGGTTTGGATCAAGCAGCTGATAAAGAAGAGTCTAATAGGAAAGAGAAGAAACAAAAAAATGATAAAAATGAAGAAAGTGATGAGGAAGATGATGAGTAAATATTTTAGAAAATGTTGGTGGGAGAGGGTATATTTTGTTTGGGTAATAATATATATTTAATTGTTTTATTTTTGTTTTAATAAATTAAATTTAAATGTAATTATTAATATTTTATTGACCCTCAGGGATTCCAGGCATTTTTTATTATTAAAAAAAATTCCCTCTTTCGATCTATCAAGCGAAATTTATGACTCAGCTCCAAAACAGCTTTATCTTTGACCCGAAAAAATTGCCTCAAACGTGGTTTTTCTTGACCAGATTTCAGCATTGACCGTTTTGCTGCTTTCCTAGTCAATATATCCCCATCAGTAAAAGAAATCTTTTATAAAAATATTCACTTAATTTCTTTATTAAATAAATCCAATGTCAAGAGGGTTCTCGCTTTTCAAGAACAAAATAAATTCCGGGATCCTTTTATTTTCTCTTTTTATTTTTGTACATTTTTAAGATGAAAAAAAGAAATTTAATTAAAAATAGAGAAAGTTTTCACGCAATTTAAGCTGTTTAAATTGTATTTTTTAATTCTTTTATTATTGTAATATAGGTGTCAAAAATTAGAAAAAAGGAATTTCTCAATAAAATTGGATGTTCTTCTAAATAACTTTAATTTTTTAAAGGTTATCCATAAATTAAAAATTATTTTAAAACCTCCAAAAAAATTTTTTTCCTTTAAAATGAAAGGAATGTTTTTATAAATTTTAAATTCTTCTTATGACTTGCTTGATTTTTTCATTAATCTTGTTCTATTTATTTTCATTGTCCTTATTTAATCAACCCGTTGTTGGATGTATGGCTGGTGGGGGGCAGTTAAGTTTTTTTAAAGAATAAGCTAATGTAAATTATTGTTGAACCTCGCTTATGATACCCTCTTGGGTTGAAAACCTTACTCGATCATTTATTGCCTCTTAAATGGCTCACGTAGGCACATCCCTCACCCGAATTTGGAAGAATACATGTCTTAAAATGGTGTTTTAAGTATATATGGTTTATTAAATAGAGGGCACTTTATAGTGGGATTATCTTAAATAGAGAGGGGAGCCTTATAGCTCCCTTCACCAACTGGCTAACCAATTTTAAAAAAACGTCCATTAAATTATACTTTATATGCTCGAATAACACCCTGAGTGATTATTGTTTCAGCCTCTCGCTAGAGGGGGTAATTATTTGATAGGGACTATAGAGAGGTTTTCTATAGAGATGTATGACTGTATTAATATTTTATTTTATTAGAACGTTTATTTGTTGTCCACCATTCTCGTCAATTGGATGTTCTCCTTCTGTGCCTATTTGCAGGTGCTTTTATTCTTTTTAGATTAAATAAATTTTAATTCAGTGGGTATTCTAGTTATGGAGGTAGTTATGAAGCTCCCCAACAAATATTTTATCCACGTCCTTTTACCTATCAAATAAATAATGAATGCAAAGAATTTAATTGTGGAAGTTGTGATGAGAGTGTTGAGGAAGAAGAAGAATATCAAAAAATTAAAATTGATTTAGGTAAAAAATGATTTTAGATTTTTAAATGTTCTCTCATTATAAGATGGCGATTTTCACAGCCCCAAAGAAGTATATATTAATGAGGCTTGACTATAATCTATTTAAGAATTTAAAGATAATTCTGATATGAGAATAAATTTTTTTATCATGTCGGACCTCGCCTACTAGATTCTATTTAATGGACGTTTTTTTAAAATTTTAGTCGGCCAACGGGTGAGAGGAGCTAACAAAAAGTCATATGTACCTTCGGTTTAATATACCCTCATTATAGTCTATTAATTCAGCCCCAAGGGTGTATCTTATAATGAGGTCCGTTTATCTTATTTTATTCAAAAAGATACAAATTCCGAAAGTGGATGTAATCAACAACAACAACAAAAGCCTTGTCCTTCAACGGTTTTAAATGATTAAAAAAATAAATTTCTATTACTTTTTAAGGGATGTATTGCTACTTTTAACCAATTCCCAAGCTCACTACCTTCGTGTAATGGAGCTTCGGTCCTTTTAATTTATTTTTAATTTCCAAAAAAGAAATTTAGAATTGTAATAATGAACAGCTTCCTTTATCCATTTCTGACGAAAACCTTCCTTGTATTGATGGCTGTTCTAGCGAAACAAATTTACAAATAAATTCCCCCTGTAATTCCCCAATTAATTGTCACAACAATAATTATTTAAAAATCCTCCCTCCTTCTGATTCTCTTCCAATTCCTTTACCTTTCGCAACAACTTCAACAGAATTTCCTATTGCTGTTTCTCCTGATATTTTTAATAATAATCAACAAGATTATGAAAGTTTGGATAATAATGAATTGTTAGGCACTTCTTCGCTTTTTCCAACCTTTCAAACTTCCTCCTTTTTATTTCCTTCTCCAGTTGAAGTTTCTCCTTCTAATAGCGTTGAGGAAATATTACAAGCGAGTACTTTAACGTCCACAAATACTGAAGAAGGTACTTGGAGGGGTTGGGTCTTCCACATTCTTTAGTAAAATGGTCAGGGTTCAAAAGGGTCAGACGTCTGTTTTTTAATCAAATGGCCGTATGCCCTTAAAGACAGGTATAAACAAACTTTTGACCATTTCGAGTCCTAAATTCTCACAAAAACAAAATAAAAACTGGCTTAGTAACAGGGGTTGTTCCCGACCAGAGGTGAATCGGGATTCCGATTTCCGACGTTTTTTCCTTCCGATTTCCGAAAAAGCTGATTTCCGAGTTCCAAGTTCCGACTTTTGAGCCATTTCCGATTTCCGGTACCTTCGTCATTTCCGTTTCACCTCTGATCTCCCGACCCTTCGGAGTCAAAAGGTTCAGTGTCGATGTTATTTGTGGGACCTTAATAAATAATTCGTTGCATATACCTATTACAGAAACAACAATAATATCACCTCAAAATCCATATGAAACTAACGAAAATGATAAGTTATTAGAACAAATAATAACAACAACAACTATTTTACTACCTACAACAATAAAAGAAATAAAAACAAGTAGTGATTCTTTATTATTAAATTATGAGGATGAAAATAATAAAGATGATAATAATGAAAGTTTACCAAAAAATGAAGAAATGGCTTTTGGAAATGAAGCTGTAAAGAAAGAAAAATTGAAAGAAAAAGTAAATACAAGTGAAAATGAAGAAATGAAAAATAATTGTGAAGATTCTGAATTGAGGTAGTACTTGTTTTATCGATGAGTGAGCAAAAAATTGGATGGGGGCCTTTATTCGTGTGAACTATAAAACACAGAAATTCGTGTGTATCAGGGATTGCGCCGACTTAAGAATAAATTCCTGATTTCGAGAATTGGGGGAATTACCAGCTCAAAAGAACGTCGGGAATTGCATATTTCCGGGAATCAGGTCTAGTAAAGCCTATAGCTATTTCTCTCCTTCAGCTAGTGCAAAGGGTTAATCGGCGGCTGGGAGTGAACCAGCATCTTCAGTAGACCGGACTGATATACATTACACCACGCCGCTTACTGCACAGCCTTAGGAATTAAATAGCTATATGCTTTACAGTCTGCGCAAATGCACACATATCGTTCTATGTGCCAGGCCCTAAATAATTCGGTTTTTTTCAAGCAAAAAGTGACAAATCTTTATTTCTTGCATATTCTTAAGCGGGGATCTAAGAATTATTTTAAAAATTTATTTAGAACTAAAATTTTTTCGTTAAATAGAGAAATTGTCGAGAAAGCATTATCATCAGCAAAATTGGATAATTTGGAAGCAGCACGTAATATTGAAAGTAATTCAGCGGCCAAATTTGGTGGACGTTTTAACTCAATTGTGTCAAATAGTGAATTTGCCTATGTTAATTGGTATGGAAAGAGAAATTGTCAATTAAGAGTTGGAAGTAGACATTCTTTGACTTGGGAGGATTAGAAAAATGATAAAAAAATTGAAATTTATTTTTTATATTAGTCGGACCTCATTTTACATACACTCTTGGTGTTGAAAAAATCTTACATTATGTATAATATGTAAGATTGTAGGTGTCGCTTAGACAGCTCCACCACCCATTGACTAGCCAATTTTTAGAAGCGTTCCTTAAGTTGGGGGTTGTCTAATAGGGAATGTACTAAAGCCCCTAATAGACAACAGTGAAGATCGGGAGTGGGAGGGAAAAGTCTGCTCGGGTTTTCAATTTTTCTTTGGATTGAATTTCGGGTCGGAAAAGTCAGTGTATTGGGTAACCCCACTCACCCCTATAATGTGCCTTAATGAGGTCCGATTGTATTTTCCTTTTCAATTAAAAAATAATTTTGTATTTATTTAATAAATTATATTATTTTTAATTAAATTTTTTACTTGTTTAATATTTCCAAAAATAAAATTTTTTTCTCGTTTATCCAAAATATTCTCTACGATATATTTTAATATTTATTTAAAATACAAAACATTCCTTTTCCTTACCTTAAATATTATCTCTCCCTCTCAATGTCAAAAATGGGTCGTTTATAGGGGTGCTGATCTGTATATATAATTTTATATTTATTAAATGATTAATTATTTTTTTAATTTTTCTTTCCGCTTTTATTTTTCTTTTCTTTTTTAAATATTTTCTTTAACTTAAAATGGCCGCCAATTTTTAATTTTATATTTCTTTTCTTTTTCTCGTCCACTTTTCACATCTTCGAGAGTCAATCGTTTGTTGCTGACAGTCACCCCTCTTTTTAAATTTAATCACGCGTCCGTTCTACTTTTCTCTACTAGTTTATTTTGTGGTTTGCTCATTAATTTCTTGATATATTGATAAAAATGCGCAAAAGGCTATCACATTTTAAAGAATAATTTTGGCAACAATTAAAGTCGGACTTCACTTGTAAGTCACCTTTGAGACTGAACTGAGTATCTTATAATGGGTGTACCTTAAATAGAGATGAATATTATAATGAAGGATATCCTATAATGGGGGGTGTTTTAAATTGGGTGTATCTTATAATGAGAGGTACCTTAAATAGAGGGGTATCCTAGAATGAGGGGGATCTTAGAATGATGGAAAGCGCTTCTTCCAAACTTGCCTCCCTTCCCCTAATGGCCACCCAAAATTATAAAACGTATCCGAAATCGAGGTTTATCTAGATCTCATAGTGAGGTCCGACTGTAACTGAATTTATAAAATTTGCTCAAATCTATCATAAAATAGCCTAAATCTAGAAATATTTAAAGTCGGTATTTAAAGAAAAAATTAAAGATAACAATCTTTTTCTTCTTCTCTACCTTTACTCTTCTCCCTATTTAATATTTAACCTTCAACATTGCTCAATCTCCAATCTTTACCCAAATATTTCTTTCATCTTTCCATGTGCCTCTTTATTCAAAAAAAAAGTTAAGGGGAGAGGAAGGGGTACCTTTCTTACCTTTTTCTTCCCCCCCCCCTCTCCTCCCTTTCCTTCCAAATTAGCCTTTCCCCCCATTTTTCTTCTAAATTTTTCTCATTAATCGACACATCCCCCCTTTCCTTCCTCTTCCGTTGTCTTTTTACCTTTCTTTCCCCTTCTTCCAAAACTACCACCCAACCAAACCTATCAATTTTGGGGAAGGATGGTAGTGGTAGCGGCGCAAAAATTCTCGACGTTTCCGTTGCCATTTTACCTTTTAATATTATTTTCTTTTATTATTTTATCTTTTCTAGTCAATTTAGCCCCTAAAAACCACGTTTTCCGTACAGCGATTAAATTTAAAATTTTGTTATTATTTTTAATAAATTCTTTCTTAGTTAACAACAACCTATTAAAAAATTAATATTTATATTTCAAAGGGCAGCGTGTGTTTATAGCTTTGGTCATTTAGCTGTATGAATCCGTTGATTTGATCATAAAGCTAGATTACCAGAGCTAGAAGCTTACCAAAAGTCCAATCAACATTATTTAAATTTAATTTTTAATTTTTGATTGAATTATAAACGAGTTTATTTGAAGTGATTGTTAAACTTCATTGTAAAATAAACCCGATACTAGATAACCTCTATTTAAAAGAAACATCTTTGTAAAATTTATTGTCCGGTGAAGGGAGCGTCAAAAACCATACCCACTTTTTAAAGGTACCCTTCACGATGAGATACAGGCTTTTAGCCCCACTGACGTACATCATAACGAGGTCTAATTCAGACTAGGACATGGATATAGATACAGATATTATAAAAATGCCTGCGGATATCCGTCTGTATCCGCCGTAAATATCCGGATACGGATACCAAAATTAGTATCCGTGTCCTAGTCTGGTCTAATTAAAGGTAAGTTTTTTTACTTGCATTATTAAGCTGTGGGAAAATTAATTTGGATGGGAGATAGACTAGAACAATCATGGAATGAGCCCAGACTAAAGCATAACCATTCAACTCGATGATGGTTTATTTTCATTTTATATTCTTTCTTCAAGCATAGACCAACTTTAGTAAAAATACACGAACAAACACACATAAATACATACAACATATAGAAATAATACAAAAAATATATACCTAGGCTAATTTAAAGCCATAAGGAAAAGAAATTATATTATTTAAATACCTATACAATAATTATTTAAGGATTATCTTTCCCTATTTTATTTTTTCCTATCCCTATTTATTTATTTTCCTATACTTCAGTACCAAGCTCTTGCTGGTAAGCATCGAATTCAGCCTCGTTTTCAGTCACCACAGTACAAAGATCATCGTTTTTGACTGAAGCAGTTTCAGGCTCACAAGATTGGGTGTTTAACACAAAACGAATAATTCCACTCTTTTCACTTGAAAAATAAAAAAATCTCTTTTAAATTAAAAAATTTACCGTTTAGCCAAAGATTTGTTATAAACACCCCAACCACTACAAAGACGATCCTCAATATTATATCGCATATTTTTTCCAAGTTTGTTGTAATCTTCTAATTCGAGCAGTGCAAGGCCTAATTTGTGATACCTTAAAAAATAAATTAAGAATTTAAATCAACCCTCCCTATGAGATACCCCCCCCCCCCATATTAGATACACCCCCAGTCTAAGAAATTTCTTAAAAATTTGGGTGGTCATTTGATGGGGAACTGACTAAGTGATACTTGCAATTTAAGAGACACCTCATATAAGGTACCTCCGTATAACAAACTCACCATATTAGATGCACTTCTATTTAAGATACGTTCATAAAAGTCGGTTGAAGGGCCATCTAAGCGATACCTTCTATCTAAGAGACACCCCATTACAAGAGACTATTTTTCAGCCCCAAGAGGTTATCTTATACCGAGGTCCAGCTTTAATTAATAAATTTATTTACTCTTCACATTCCAATTGCCACAGAGAAAAGCGTTCCAAATTCTTCAAATGATATCTCTCAGCAAATTGGAAATGATTAAGCAGAATATTAGGTCCAGTAATTAATTCATTACAAATCATCTATAATGAAAATAAATTTAAAAAAAACTTTTTTCCAAACCTCTTCCAATTCCTTAACAATTTTTTTCATTCCATGGTCACAAGCAAATATAAGACAAGAACGAATTAAATTGTTAGGTACATTGTCTCCAGTCCCATACATAAGCGCCAACAAAGGAGAGAGAACTTGCTCTAAACGAAGTTGATTATATTCCATTTCTGCTTTCAAATTGGAAGAAATTATTGGACGAAGTTTTAATTGACCAAATTTCATTCCTATAAAATTAAAAAAAATTTAATTAATTTGGGAGCTTTAAATTTTTTTAAAATTTTTTTTACAAATGACTTATTGTTAGAAAAACCATCGCTTGACAGATATGTAGAAAAAGGAAGATCTAACTGGTATCATTTAAAAAGCTTAAAGCGAGTGAGAAAGCAGAGTCGTCCTCTAACAAAGGAGAGTGCCTGAGGTGTCCGTGGGACTTCGGGACACTAAAGTAGGGTATAATCTACCTGTTTACCAAATTTCATCCCGAAGTAGCACGGACATCTCAGGCACTCTCCTTTGCAAGGCAGTTCAGGGCACCTACTGAACGTGGTGACGGAATCGCCCAACAATGACTGACAGGAGTTTACTAGTTCAATCCCTCCCGATGGATAAACTTCTGTCTAAAACTCCTACATTTTTATTGGAAGTGTAAAAAGTTCAAGAAAATTTACCAGATCCATCAAATCCCGCAAATTTTTCCAAACATTCATTTGCTTGTAGAATTCCAATATTCACATAAATGAATTTTTTATTATCCAATTCGATACTAGCGTTGAATGGATTACTTGCTTCGTATGGACTATCAAAACCAGGCACTGGACATTTATGTTTTTGTTCGTATAAACAGGCACGAAGAAAAGAATTGTTAACATTATTTTTATCGTTGATTGCCTTAAAAATTAAAAAAAAAAGAAATTTATTTTGGTATTTTTTGGCATCCTCCTCCTATTTCAAATCTTCTTCCTTTCCTTTTTCCTAAAGAATCAAAGAAGTCCCGGTTCAGCTGACAATCCCAGCCCCTATAAACACAAGAACGAGTAGATAATTTTTAATGTTCTTGGCACTAATGGAAAAACATTATGATCGATAAAGTTCCGAAAAACCATTTTTTCGAAAATTTTAGCCTTTAGATCTTAAAATTTTTCAACAGTCAGTCGATCTTTGATTTTTCCTGGTATCTTATAGTGTACTCAATTTATTATAAAAAGTGCCAAGAAAGATAAAAATTATTAAACCATCCATGAGTTTCTTGAGCTATAGGGTCGGGACTCAGTTTAACTGCTCCAAGTAGAAGAGGAGAGGAAATGAAAAAAGGAGAAATGAGGGAGGACACCAAAAAGTACTTTTTCGTTCAAAAATAAAATTTAAAAAAGAAAACCTCAACAATTGCAGGCAAAACATAATTACAATAAATTTTTTGCCCAAAACATTCACGAGCATCAAAACCTCCATTTTGTAACATTTCCCATTCGCCTGTTTTCACAACATTATAGCTAATTTGTTTAATTGCCTCGTTTAACCCCAACTTTGCAGACTTCCTAACTTTTTCAATAAAATTTAATTCATCAGAATTGCCAGCCATAAATCGACACAATTTCCAAAGAATTAATTCACAATCCAATTTTGTGGCGGCAATTGAAAGATTTTCCAAATTTGAAGAGATTGGACGTCCTGTTCGATAGATTTGATACAAAAGCTCGTAAAACTGTTCCTTGGTGATATCATGATCTTTCAAAACAATTCGATTATTGAGCACTGTTCCATCATCAGACAAAACTTTTTTAAAAAAGAACAAATTAAAGGATTTAAAAATGAAGGGTGTTTTTTATATCAAATGTCGAAATATCAGAACTCCAAAAGCCGCCGAAATACCAAACTAGTAGAGATCGATAATTTTGAAAGCCTGGGCTTGTTCCTGGGTTCCTGGTTTGATTTATCGACCTGGGCCGGATCCTGGGCCTGTAGTCCAGGAAAACCCCGGGAAGGTCAAAAATGCCTGGGCCTGGACCCTGAGTATAGGAAAAATCCAGGCCTTGGTCCAGACCCAGCTCAATCTCTACAAACTAGCACATCAAGAGAAACGACAGAATACCAACAGACGGCTTTTGGAGGTTTGGTATTTCGGCTTTTTGGCATTACAGAGGATAAAGAATGAGGTGTCGAATTTGTTGACTTGCGGATTTTTCTTCTCCAAAGGTTTCAAGTCCTCTAAAAAGCCCGAAAAAGAAGTCTACAAGAAAAATCCGCAAAAATGACACCTTATCCTCGAATTTGCGGAAATTATTTTAAAAAAAGAAATACCCAATTTTGGCGTGTACAATGCTAACAAAGCACGATGAACCCAAGCAAAAGGCTCCGGATCATATTTAGTAGCACAAACTTCCAAATCTCCATCTTTTAACAAAGGCATCTCGCAATAATTCTTTAAAAAATTTTTTAGAAAATTAAATTTTTAAATTTACTTCATTTATGTAACGCATTTCCAATTTAATAGCAAATATTTTCTGATCAATTCTCAATTCCAAAGGAGGGTCAGAACTATTTGTTGACAATTCAAACACTTCCCCCATCACCAAACGAAAAGGACCACCATATTCTGCAACATATAAACGCGCTTGAATTAGAGCTTTCCAAGAAGATGTGGGTAAACGACTGAATGGCTTGACTTCCAAAACGAGACGTTCAATGTTCTTTTTGAAAATAAAAAAAATTTTAAGTCAATTTCATTATAAGGTACTAGAGATAGAGCTGGGCCTGGACCAAAGCCTGGGTTTTTCCTGTACCCAGTCGAGGCATTTTTTGACCTTCCTGGGTTTTTCCTGGACTACAGGCCAGATCCGGCCCAATCAAACACCAGTCCAGGAACAGGCCCAGGATTTTCAAAAATCTCGATCTCTATAAGGTACACCCTCGGTGTTTATCTTAAATAGAGGGTAGCACCTAGGCAGCTTCTTCCCCTCCCAATGACCAACCCAAGACCTAAACAGACAGTGAATTTAATAGGGGATTAGGCAGTCTCTCCCTTCCCTAGGCAGCTTTCCCACTCAGTGAGCAATCCAAAATTTAAAGAACGTCTATTAAATGGAGGTGCTCTTAGAGGAGACCCCACCTTAAAATTACTGAGGAAATCTTAGGAAGAGATCCGCCTGTATAACAAATACAAATTACCTCATCATTATTAAATCTGCCATCATAACGCTCGCTTCGTTTAACAACCAAATCAACATTTTTGAGCTTAAAGCGCAGATTCTCCTTCCCAGAACTACAACATTCATTAATTCCAGTAACTACTCCCTCTTCATTTATTTGCAAAATAAATCCAACAGCGCGCACACCATCCACAGAATTCTCGATTCCAACACCAATTTTGGCGTCTTTGATCGAATCAATACTAATCAGATGCACACCTGGCCATTTTATTATCGAACTTGGAGGTAACTCATCACAAGTATAATTACTGTTGTTGAGATCCTGAAAATTAGAAAGGATTAAAAACTGAAAGAGCCTTGGCTTTGTTTCTAAAAAGGTTTTCCTAGAGGAAAAGGATTTCCAAAAATTTTCAAATTAGAAGTCAGAACCGAGCTGAAGTTGAAGAAAAAGTAACGAAAAAGCCGACAAACTATAGGGGACCTCATTCCCTCTCAAAAATTATGAGGGGAAAAATGAGAGACTTTAGTGACCCCATTCTAAACAGAATGCCAAAGAAAAAGGAAAAATAGTCAGAAAAATTTTTCAAATATTCTTTGAAAGAAAATAAAAAATAAAACTTGCCCTATAACTGTTCGACATTACAGAAGACATTTGACAAAACAATAGAAAATATTTTGAACAAACTAACAGTTGATTGATTATAATTAAGGCTTTTATAGTAAAATTATTTTTTTCAAAAAATCTCTTTTCTTTTTTTATCTTAAATTGAGATCACCCAATCCCATTCAGTGGCCAACTAAATTTATAAAATCGAGGTGTTTCTAATTTTGGGGATATCTAAATTCGAGATCCGACTGTTTCAGAAAAATTACCGTTTTGCTTAACAAATAATGTACGGGTACGGCCCAAGTAGGCGCAAAGCCATAACCTGCTTCAAAATTTCCGAATCTTACCAAATTTGGTATTAAACGATTCCTCTCATCGAGCTAAAGAGAATGGTACCAAAATTGTTAAGGTCCATCAATTTTTCAGGTAGTTATGGCTTTGCGCCTACTTGGCCGCGCGCCTACTTGGGCGTGTCCCATAATGTACGTAGTCAAATCTTTTTGTTAACTTAAATAGATTTTAGTCTGTGTTCTAGTTGTGTTTGGTGTTTAATTAATATTCTTTTCAACATAGAATCAGAATTAAGCTTTGAATTAGAGACCGGCAAAATCGAGCTTCCGGAATACCGAGTTGGGATTTTTTCTTAATCGTTGCCGGGACGGGATCCCAAGGGATAAATCTCGAAACTCGAAAAAATCCGGGATTTCGGGATCCCAAAAAATCCTGTCGGGATCCCCTCCCGCGCCAGTCTCTACGTTGAATACCTAATTAAAACTTGTCTTTAAAACTTAAAACAGAATTAAAATCAGAATTACCACAACTATTCTCTCTACCTGTTTCCCAACAAGTTTTATTTTTAATTAATTTTTTTGCCAACTTTTTCTGAAAAAAGTTTCTTTATTTATCTCTTTCTTTATTGCCCCTACGAAACATTTAAAGTTGTTTTTGTGGCTATTGTAATAGAAGTATAAATGGTTAGCAATAAAGCGCGCATCTTTTCGCATAAATGTAAAAGTATACGAGAAAAGGAGGATGTAACTGATCACGTTTAACTGGTTATTTTTATTTTATTTTTATTTAAAAATAAGACTAAAAATCCTCCCAAAAATTCTTCCAAAAATCCTCCCAAAAATCCCTCTAAATCCTTCTAAAAATGTATTTAACACAATTAGCATCAAATCTATCCGTCCTCCTTTCAGTAGCTGCCCTAGCCTGTTGTGCATTTTTCATTCCGGCATTAATCGGGAAAATTAATAAAATTACTGAGGACTTGGAAGCTGTAAAATTTTTTGTTTGAATTTATTTTTAAAAATTTATTTTGAAGGAAATGGCGGAATTTAATAAACTTCAATCTAGAATATGGGAAAAAGCTAATTTTATAGGTGGAGAGAATAAAGAAATTGGACAAAATGGAAATATTGGCACTTTCCTTCTTGAGAAAATTAGAGTTTTTGAAATTTTTAGTACCTTTGAATAAACCCCTTTTGAAGAGACAAAGAAGACAAACAAACAATTACTCCGGTGGGGCAAGTGGAACAACTGCTGCAGGACAGTGCTCCTGCCTGGCAGAAAATAAGTGCCCTCCAGGCCCTCCTGGGCCGAAAGGGAAGCCTGGAATGGATGGGGAGGCAGGAAAACCTGGTTGGGTTAAAAGGGATTTTTGGACAAAAGAAAAGTTGAATGAATTAAGGAACGCCTGGCCCAACAGGTCAGCACGGCTGTAGCCCTCCTGTTATGATTCAACAAGGAGAGGTGAATTGCAGGTATTGTTAAATGATATTCTAAGAAGAAAAATAAATCCTGACAGAATGTGCCCAAACGGTCCTCCAGGCTATCCCGGTCCTCCAGGCGAACGTGGCGAAGATGGAAAGCCTGGTACAGACGGGGAGCCGGGCCCTAAAGGATTGCCTGGACATCCAGGGCCGCCTGGGCCACAAGGAATACATGGAGAAGCGGGAATGCCAGGAAAAGCTGGGCCAGCAGGAAGTCCAGGGCGGAATGGCTCTAATGGTGGAAAGGGCGAAGTGGGGGCACCCGGTGAGGAAGTTGCAGTAATAAAAATAAAATATCAATTAATTTAGGTACCAAAGGGCAAAAAGGTCCTCAGGGAGTTCCCGGGCATTCAGGCCCTGACGGAAAGCCAGGAATGCCTGGGGCAAGAGGACCACCTGGAAATATGGGCGAACGTGGAGATCAAGGAAAAGAAGGTATTTCAAATTTCCGAACTTTACTTACTGTTATTTAGGACCACCCGGCACTAGTGGCGATGGGGGAGGGCCAGGAACAGATGCAAGGTAACGGATGTGACAGAATGCCAATAAATTTAAAAAAATTTTCTATTCAAGTTATTGCCGTTGTCCGCAACGTTCTGGAAAGCTACCATATTTTTTGTGATTTTAAGCAATATTTAGAAGTCTATGTAGAACTATTCAAAGGATATGTATTAAAAAATTAAAATTTCGAATTTTTTTCAAGAATAAAAAATAGTTAATCCTTAAATTTCTTAATTTTTCATTTTTTTCCTTCGTTTTTCTGTTCCCTCAAACAATGACACGCAGAAATAGAGAATCTAAAATTGCCATAATGGATGATAAAAAAGATGAAGAAATTTGTTAGAGCAATTTTATAGAAAAGAAATGGCCAAAAAATTTATTTTTGTTGTCTGTCACTCTCTCAAAATTCCTTCTATTCTCCACACTATTTCTCCTTTTCTCTAACTTCTATTTTTCTCTAATTTTTCCGGAAAGTAAACACATAAAAAATAAATAAAAAAGAGAGGGGAAGAGATAAACACAACTACTGACATTGAAATAAATAAAAAAAATGAGTTCGCGTTCCACCAGCTCCCCCCCCCCTCTCCATTTTTTTTCATCGTTTTTTAACTGCCAGCCGTCGACAACTGACTATATAGTTTTTTTCCCTAAAAAATTTTTCTCTTTCTTCTCTCTTCAATTTTCTCTTTTTGGCAGTATTTTTGTTTACTTTTCTAATCGAACACATTTTAATGTGTTCTTCTCCCTTCTTCTACACACAAACACATATTGTTTATTTTACTACAATTTTTATAAAATCAATTTTTATGTGTACATATACATTTTATTTTTTTGTTTAAAATGTCTGAAATTTTATTTATTTTAAATTTAAAAGAATTAAAGACCATTAAAAAAAAGTATTTCAAAATCTAAATTTTTTATAAAAAATTGTTGTCTGCTTTGATATAATCGAGTATTTGTCTTGTAAATAATTGATGTTCTAATTAAAATTTTAATAGTAAGGAGCTGAAGGGGCTGGCATTAATTTCTTAGCCTTTACATTTTAATAGGAGGGTTTTTAAGGCACGGGGCCATAACAGGATATTTCAATTGCGAATAGTTAGCCTACTGATTTCGGGACCTACGGTCACCAGGTCTTTGATAGAGTATTGTGGAATAGAGTTTTTATGTTTTAGAACAAACGGTTCCGATATGTCCGTACACCGTTTTTAATTAGTTAAGCCTCAATCTAGTCGAATCTCTCTATAAGGGACACCTCGATTTGAGATACATTTTAAGGTTTATTTATCCACTAGATAGAGGAAAATTGCAAAAGACTCTCAAAAATTTTTTCCTTCAACTCCTTCAAAATATCGCTTAAGCAATACTCTCTATTTAAGATACACTTCATTATAAGAGACGTTTTTTAGGTCAAGGTATGTATCTTGAGTGAGGTCCGTCCCCAAAATTTTCCAAAAAATTTTTTAATCAACAATACCTCCTCTGTTATTGCCTCGCTCTAAGAGCATTAAATATAAGCATTTAGCTTCCACCAATTATTTTCTAGGGGGAATTTCTTTTTCAATTTTTTTTTTTAGTTTTTCGCCATTTTACCCCAACAATTTTTTTCCGTTCTCTTTTTCTTTTTTTTCTTTTCATCTCAATTTTCCGTTCGCCTTTTATATCTTCCTCTCATCCTCTCCCCTTTCTTCTCCTCTCTTTTCCCTTTCAATCCATTTGATGGTGGCGCTGTCCCAATCCCCCAGGGGCGTCGAGGGCAACCAACCAAGTAAAAAATGGGACTACTTTTTAGATGAAAAAGAAAAATGTATACGCTTGAAATAGAACGGTGCTCAAAGTTTTTTTTAAAGAAAATAGAGGAGAGAAAGAGGAAAAGTGATAGTAGACGAATTGAAGGGGTGATAGTAAGGCAGAAGAGTAAAAATAGTAGGGGGGAAATGTTTTTTCACCTAAATTCTTCTCTTTCCCCCAAGTCTGCCCTCAAAACTCTAACTTAAAAAAAAAGAGAAAAGGGCCAAGAAAAAAAAAGAAAAAAAAGCTCTATCTTTCTTTCCCCACACAACTATCCTTAAAAACCTCCAAAGGTTTTGTTCCCCACACTGGGGAAGAAAAAGGGAAAGATGTTCGGAGAGACCTAGAAGGGGTGAATTTTTTAGTGAAATAAGGGGGGGCACATCTGTCAATTTCCTTTTTTTTCTTTAACAAAAAAAAAATCCCCCCCAGAATCCCTTTTTTGTTACTACATCTCTTTGTGCCTTCAATGCCTTTATGTCAATCTCCTCTTTGACTCGCGTGACATTTTATTTATTTCCTAACAAAATTTTTTTTGACGTTCTTTTTTCTTTAAGAAACTTTGTGGAATTTTTTTTAATTTTAATTGTCTCCAATTTTAATTTATTTAAAAACATTTTTGGGAGCAGGCCAACTCACCGCGAGGCCAACTTATTGCAGAGCTATTAACTTCATTCAGAATCGTCGAATCCGGGACACTATGTTATGTTTCGATGCCCCTCGACGAGCTGAATCGAGCCATACCAGAGCGTTCCGGATTCGACAATTTTGAACGAAGTTATAAGCTCTGCGGTAAGAGGGGCTCGCGGTACGTTGGGGGTGTACCCCTTTTTTCTGTTTTTTTCATTTTTCTCTTAAATTTCCTCATTTATCCAAGCCAGCCGAACACATGAAAAAATACATATCTAATAACAATCAATGCTTATTTTTTCCATTTTTTACTCTTGAAACTGTTCGTCATTTTGTTTTTATTTGTTTTTTTTTGTTTGTTTAAAAGGTTAGAGAGGCAAACAAAAAATAAAATATATACTACACTAAAAATTGATTTTTGCCTAAAATTTTTTATGAAATTTTTTTAGTTCTTCAAAAATTAAAAATACACTGCTCCACATAATTATAAGTCCACCCATTTTTTCGGGATTTTTTGACTCCCAGTGATCCAAATTTTTTGAAAATTTAGAAACACACCTTTTAGTGAATAACTAACAAGGTGTGATTCGATTTTTGGCTGAATTTTTATTTAAAAAATTTTTAGACCAAAATATGTGTTTTCGGCCTCCACAAAATTATAAGTCCACTTTTCAAAAAAGATATTTCCAAGTTTAGGAAAAATCTACAAAAATTCTAGCAACAATATATAATGATATTATGAAAAAATAAAAAAGAACTAGACCTATAACTCTACCCAGAGCCGAGATCCTGAGACCTCAAAAATCAACGTAAAATGGGGGTAAGGCTCTTTAAAAAAATTTTTCGACCCCTTATCGATTATTTTCAATTTTGATTTTGGGCTCATTCGACAGCCTTGAAATTTGCTACAAGATAGCATTAATAATATTTTATAGAAAATTCGATTAGAAAGATACGAGCCGTTAATCTTCTGATGCAGCAAAAATCGTCTAAATGCCCCATAAAATGCCCTCTAATGACACCTAGAAAGTTTATCGTCTTGTGTCTCTCTAAGGAATTTTTCTGAAAAATAAGACAAGTGCTATCTTGTAGCAAATTTCAAGGGCTGTCGAATGAGCCCAAAATCAAAATTGAAAATAATCGATAAGGGGTCGAAAAATTTTTTTAAAGAGCCTTACTCCCGTTTTACGTTGATTTTTGAGGTCTCAGGATCTCGGCTCCGGGTAGAGTTATAGGTCTAGTTCTTTTTTATTTTTTCATAATATCATTATATATTGTTGCTAGAATTTTTGTAGATTTTTCCTAAACTTGGAAATATCTTTTTTGAAAAGTGGACTTATAATTTTGTGGAGGCCGAAAACACATATTTTGGTCTAAAAATTTTTTAAATAAAAATTCAGCCAAAAATCGAATCACACCTTGTTAGTTATTCACTAAAAGGTGTGTTTCTAAATTTTCAAAAAATTTGGATCACTGGGAGTCAAAAAATCCCGAAAAAATGGGTGGACTTATAATTATGTGGAGCAGTGTAGTTCCATGCAAAATACTTTTTAAATTTTTTCAGTTCACAAATTTATTAAAAAAATTTTTTGTAGCGAAATATAAAATTTTATTTTAGTTTTTATCGATATATAGAGGAAGGAATCTCGCTAGTACGCCATCCCAGGCTGAACTGAGCCGACGTATGAATGAGAACGAGGTGTCGGGACCAGGATTAATACCTCGAGTCCGGGCGGAATCGACACGAAGGGAAGTGTCTGTTATCAGGTCCCAACTCTTTTTCCTTTGGTTCTCCAAAATTTTTCATTCATGTTATCAGGGGAGTCGTGTTAGCGGGATTCAGCTGACACAGTTAAAATAATCAAAATTTTCTTTAAAATTACGATTCTTCTCTAAAAAACTTTTATTATAAAACAGTATTTTTCAACTTTTCAGCTAATTTCAACATCCTTTTCTTCCAAAAAAATATTTTTTCAATTAGAAAAAAAGGTTAATGTTAGTGCTGAAAGACATGGGTAGTTGAGACGTGTTGATATAATTTCGGTATTTGGTTAAAAAGAATTTTTCTTTTTAGCCATCCGAATTATACTCAAATTAAAAAAAGACGTGTCATCTACTCTGTTTTTCGGCGTTCGCATTTAATCAAAAAATTCTTCCTTCAATTTATTTTTAATCATCAAGGAACATCAAAAAATTTTTTTATTGGCTTGGCCTGTACGCCTAAAGCTGACCAGTGATTTGTTATCGCGTATTTTTTTACGTGAAATTTGTTGAATTCATATCACAGCCTGCTTTAGCGTACAATGCCCTAGTCTGTTAACAGACAAAAAAAACAACACAAAAAATTTTCTAAAATTAATTTAAATGGAAAATACGAGAAGATGAGACTGGTAATGTACAATTTGCTGCTTATTTGTTAAAATCTAGCTATTGGAATAGAAAACAATTTGCAAATTAAATTTAAAATTATTTTATTATTTTTTACAAATTAATTTAATTAAATTATTAAAAAAAAATTTTTTTTTGAATATACACATTGAGAAATCTTATAGTATTAATTTACAATGTAGCTTCCTTTACCCAATGGGCAAAAATAAAATATCATATATCCTGTAATAACTACCCTGGTTATTTTTCAACCTTCCGCTGGAGGGAGCAATTAATCGAGGGAGGGTAATTATATGAGGTTTGAAATTTGAACGTGTTTTAGGGCATTTGTTTGGGGGTAATTATTGTTTCAATCAACGCTGGATGGGGTAATTAATAGAAGTGGACTAATTATTTGAGGGAGGGCCGACATATGTACAAATAAAATTCCTGATTTTGGGAACCGGAAGCTCATTCTCTGCTATAAACACACATTGCCCTTTGATATTAGTAAATATTAAAAGTTGCCGCTTAAGAGATTTCTAAATATGTTGGAGAAAATATAAAAGAGGCTATACAATTAATTGATAAATAAAAGAAAATTGAGGGAAAAGGCGAAATATACCAATAAAACAGGGCTCCGATTCGTACTTTTTTAAAAGTATTGTACTTTTTTATCGACCTTCGTACTTCCGAAATTGAATTTGTACTTTTTTGAAAGTATGTACTTTTTTATCAACATTTTTGAAAAAACGAAGAAATCTGGCTTAAGGACCTCCAAAATTCTCAAAATTTTCGCCTGCGGCGCAAAAAATGGAAGAAATCTGGCTTAAGGACCTCCAAAATTCTCAAAATTTTCGCCTGCGGCGCTTCTCAATGGCAAACATTCAATGGACGAAGGAAAGAAACTCGCTTGAGGTTGACTGTCAGAGCTTTGCTTCATGTGACAGCAAATTTTGACATGTCATGCAATGAAATGCACAAAATGCTCAGTTGAAACAAGAAATTATTAGAAAAGATTAATTTAGGAGAGAAATATAAAAGATTGATCACGAATAAATATTTTCAAATTTAATTTTGAGTGTACTTTTTATTTGCAAATTTTCTCCCTATGTACTTTTTTTACAAGATTTTGATACTTTTGAGTGGCATTTTGTCGATCGGAGCCCTGCAATAAAATTATAGGAAAAGGCTACTTAAATAAAATTTATAAATCATAATTACCAAGCCAACCTAAAAATTCAAAAATTTTCTCATAACCCTTTAAAAACAGAGATTGATGATTAGCTCAAAATAAATATATTTTTATATAATATTAGGCATGCTTTAATTATTTTTCTTTTTTTTTTAAATTTTAAACAAAATTATATATAGCTTTCCAGTCAAATGAACTGTTAATTTTGTGTTTACATTTTGAAAATAAATTTTCGATTACAATTTTTTTAAATTAAAAAAAATTAATTAATTAAAATTTTGTGATTTTAAACAAAAATATATTTTCTAATTTTATCCTTTGTATTGGATATTCTTTGATTTACTCAGTTCAATATTTCTCGAGGTATCTAGTGAGATTATTATGTATGACCCTCCCAGTCTCGTCTAAATAATAACATTAAACTTAGCTACAGCTAAGACTTGCCCCCATAACTAGAGATCGGACCGAAATGATATCTCAAACAAAATTGTGCTATTATATGAGAGACGTACATAATATTGAATATTTAAACTAGTAACACGGATACTGAAAATTTAATTGGGAAAATATCTAGTGATTTAGGCCTGGTTGTAATTTTTTGAAGTCAACTCGACCTGAGTAATAATTAAACATGAAACACCTTTTGTCTACCAAGGCCATAAAATTAATATAATTTTATCATTTGCATTGGATATTCTTTGAATCTAGGCCGCTTTTTGATATTCCGCCCCTTGTTTGAATCGATGTTATTATTTTCTTCTACATGGCAATCATTTATCTTACCCATAAAATGCTTCTCTTAAGTAAACGAATTGCCCGATAAAAAAAATAAAATATACATAAATTATTATTCAAAGAAAATATCAAGCCAAAAAAGAGGGCGGGGATTATTTTTACTGAAAAAAATAATTTTTATTAAGAGAAAAATAACAAAATTTCTCAACTAAAAATAATGTACGTATATCTTTTATTAATAAAATTGGAAGAATACTTAAAATTAAAATTAAATTTTAAAAATTATTTTTATTCATTAGGTATTTAATATTTACAACAAAATTTTTTAAAATTTATTTATTTAAATGATTGGTGTATTTTGATACTACGGGCAGGTAATTAAAATAAAAATTAAAAAATTAAAACTAGATTGATTTACTCTCTCAAATTAAAGTTAGATCCTTCCAAATAGTCTGATCTCAATACTACCTAGCAAGGACGATTCGGTATCAAGACCATATTTTGGGCCATAACTTTCTTAATTTGCCTGATTCGAGTAGTTCTCATATCATTCGAAAGGTCTTGAGATGCGGCATTTATTTAATATTGAAATTCTACTGAAAATTCTACAGAAAATTAGAGCCAAATAAAGTCGAAAATCTCTAATGTCTCTTCTGAGACTTGAAAAAATTTATTT